ATGGACGATTCACATAATCTTGGTGATTAAAGAGCTGTTTTCTATCATCAGTTGCATTCATAAATGTCAGGAGAAATAGCTTATGACGTTACACATGAGAGGCGAAACAATTTTTACGTGAATTCAGCAAGAAATATATGAAATGTAATCAATCAAATTATCACATATCTTTTTAATAACATAATTATCTCATCGATGAGTGATTTTCCGAGAAAATGTCAATAGTTTTTTGCAACTGAGGGAATCCCCAACGACAAACCTCTCATAGCATCGCTTATTCAGCGTTGTGTTTGACAACTTCTTCAGTGAATTATCATTTACTTTCATTAATTTTCTTCTCATTATATTCTCCAGCTATAGATAAATGTCCGGAGAATTTCAAATGGTTTATGGCGTGACGCATGAATCCAGTGGTGAATAGTGGAAGTATATAAATCTAATGTGACATTTTGGTTGATTACGTGATGACCTCTCTGATGAGTGATTTTAGGAGAAAATTTCAAGAGATGTTTCTTGCTGCTGAAGGAATTTTCGAAGACAAAACCCTTTTGATATTTTCTCGTTGAATAGCCTTAGAGAATTACCACTTTCGAGTTATGTTTGAGAACTTTCTTAGTGAATTATCATGTAATTGTATTAAATTTTCTTCCTAATATATTCTTCAGTTATAAAAAAAATTCCAGAAAATTTCATACGGATTGTGACGTTACACAGCTAGTGGTGAATAGCGGAACTATATAAATCTAATGTGACACTTTGGTTGATTACGTGGTCTCTCTGATGAATGATTTTAGGAGAAAATATCAAGAAATGTTTCTTGCTGCTGAGAAAATTCCAAGTGAGAAAGCTCTTTTGATATTTTCTCGTCGACTGAGAGAATGACTAGGTCCGAGTTACGTTTGACCATTTCCCTAATAAATTATTATTTGATTTCATGCACTTTCCTTCTCATAATATTCTCCAGTTATAAATAAATGTTTGGTGGATTTCCAATGACTTTTAATGTTGCGCAGTCGAAATTTCAAAATTAAATTAATCATGAATTAAATTTGCTGCCTCAGACGACTGGAAACAATGAGGAATAAGCGTGACAGACTTGCGAGATATCGATAATTATCGACTTTAAGTGTATGTTCTTTTTAGAATAGGAAATTCACTCACTAGTGGGGGAGTTTCATTTCAAAAAATCTCGACCTATGCGTTATGCATGAGTCCTAATATAAACAGTAAAATTTGATCAATTAAATGTGACATTTCGCTTAATTAAGTGATCATCTCGATAATGAGGGGTTTTAGGTGAAAGTGTCTGTCAACATTCACCCAAGAATTACTCGAACGATTAAGAATCATCCATATTAGGCTTGGACTCTCCCGTAACTCCTTCGACTTTATTCAATTGTCTTCCATTCACATTCTCCACTTATGAATGGATGACAGAATAATTTTTAAGAAATAACTCAACACGTCACACATGAATTCAGTTCTAAAGAACAAAACGTAATCCATCAACTCATGACATCTCCCGTTATACCCCGTCATTATCTTGTTAATGTGTAATAATTTCAGGTGAAAGTGTCACAAGACCCGTGAAAAAGTTTCTGAGATCGAGAATAATATTCTAGAATGCAAAACCTTTTTCTTTGATCCAAGAACAATTTTTCGTTAACGAGGCGTTTCAACTATTCATTACATTCGTCAACTATTAATACTAGTCGCTAATAATTAAGAAACTTCGTTAATTGCAATTAAATCCCTCTGTCTGCGTGTTTATGAGTTTTTTTTCTGAAATTAAAAACAAAGGTGAACTCGTTTACTCCAATAGTTCAGGAAATAGAAGTCAAAAAAATTTAATTTGGTAAAATTAGCTATTTTTAAAGGTTGTTATTCTTTATCAAGATAGAATTTTCATGCCATCATGTTTTCCAACAGAAAATTTTTGTGAAACCAGAAGAATAAATTATGAATTCTCTGTATACAAAAAAAAAGTCTTTGATCTCAAAAATGATTAATTTTTGGGAAAAATGTCTAGACAGCCGCGTCAGGTGTACAGAGAGAAACAGTATCTCCGGAAAAGTTTCTTTCTCTTTGATCCAAGATCAATGTTTCCTGTTTATAAAATTATTCTTCAAATTAAAAAAAGACAACTTGGCAACAAGAGGTTGTCTTTTTTAAAAGTAAAAAAAAAATCGAAAGAAGAAGCTAAAAAAATTCGAAAGTCCAGACTGAGATTTGAACCCGGGACCTTCCGATTATGTATCAAGTGCTCTCCCAACTTAAGGAAAGGTCACAAGGGTGACACTGCTTTGGTTGAATGCATTTTTGACTAAAAATTCTTTCATTACAGATTTTGTTCACTGAATTTTGGCGATTGTTGTTGCCATTTTTTCTGAAAAAAAATTCAATCAAAAAAAACTCCAACAAAAAAATTTCCATTAAAATTGAGTTTTGTTGTTTTGATGTTGTAAATATAATTATTGAATTCAAGTGTGGGAATGTGAGTGCATGAATTGGTATGTCAAGTACCTATACGAAGCGTTATGGAAATGTTCGTATCTTGAAAAATAACCATTGAAATGCTTATATCCCAAAAACTAATTGAGAGAGAATTTTTTATTTTTTTCCGTATTCCTGGGAAAAATGGTAAAGAAAATAACAATTGTGGATATTTTCCCCTAAAATCCCGTATCGAGATAATTTAATATTCTCGAAGAAGTGGTAAATCGAGGGATTCCGTTACATTTCGCCACCTGCACTCGATTTTCTCCTCATTATACTCCGCGGTTATAAGTAAACGTCAGAAGGATTATGAAACATTACTCATGACTTCAATTCATCACTTGATTTTTATTCATCGGTTTCCTGCGTTACGTTAACTGTTTCATGTCCCCTTTTATCATAACAAAAAGTCTCACCATTTCTTCTCGTCATTAGATCCATTTACCAATAGACTTCCGCAAATTTTACCTCATCTATTCTACCTTTACCTGCGATTTAACCATGTGATGCACTTATTATCAATCATGGCGTTAGTTTCCGGTGGCAGTTCCTTATTGCCTCGATGATGAAAAACTTCTACTCATCAAAGAGCCACAAGAATCCGCCCTAATTGTTCCGCTCATACTGAATAACTCTGTAATTACAAACTTTTTTCATAATAATCTCGCCCAGAAATTCTCCCTCACACCCATTAATTGCTAATTAGTTATTTTTTGTATGCCAACGAAAAAAAAATTGTTAGACATTTTATTTTATTTTCTATTCATCGTTAACCCTGAGAAGACGACGAGAGGAGAAGAAATTGTTGGGTGAGGAGACTCGACAACTTGAGACCACTGAGAGGAACTTGACTCGACGAGGCTTCCGGGTCTCATCTGGGAAAAAAGTGGGAAGGATGAAAAAAAAAGTATAATATTTTCACAGGCCAGTAACAATTACAGTGTCTCTCACGTGGTAATGTTGCGAAATAATCATCTGGCCCACAACTGGCGAGTCGAATCGTGCGATTGCCGGAGGTTTGTCGGTGAATTTTCAGTTGTAAATTCAACTGGGAATTGTTTCGTGACTACTTGATGCAGGTCAGGAGACGACAATGAAGGTCAACCGTTTACTTGTTACGGTTTAAATGTACATGCTGTTGTTATTTCGATTGTTACACGAGTACAATTCCGTGAACTTAGTGTCGTGGGGTTCTCTGAATGAGGGCGAAATAATTTTAGGGAATTATCGATAATTCTTTTCATTGCTAGTCAATGGCAGAACACAATGAATTGAAGATTTTTATTGAATTGAGTAGCGAAGCGGTAAACCGGATTAAGTCGATTTTTACTTTTCGCCAGTTTTTAATGAATTTCTCGAAATCTAAGAGAGATAACAAAATTTTTCTCATAGTGGTTTTTATAACCCTTAATTGGCTCTACAAAAAAGGTCATGACAAAAATTTTTGTATCTCTTTTAGATTTCGAGATATTCGTCAAAAACTAGCCGATTGAATTATGGATTTGGAGGAAAATTTCCAATGCCTTTTATCCAGAATATCCAAGTATGTTTTACAGTTTCGTACAGACCACAGTATAAATTCAACCATTTTCAATCATCAAATTTGTCAATTAAATTGCGTGAGAAAAATTTGAAAAAATAAGGAATATTCTTCGTCATTTGAATTAGATTTTTCGCAGAATTATGATTTTTTGGACATTCGTTGTTTATAAGTAAAGAATTGAAATTGTTTAAACTTTCGAAAATCTTATTTTTTTAGGTATGAAATCGATTTCCGGTAAAACTCTGAATATAAATAAATTTGTTATGATTCCGAACAAATGATTTTTAAGGTAGAAAATTGATTGTTCATAAATTATTGATACGAAATACTGGTAATTTTCAAAAATATAATTTTTTAACTGTTTCATCAATCTTTTCCCAAAAGTAAACTTTTCATTTTTTCCGATTTCTTAAATATTTTCTAACGGTTCAATTATCGATAATTATTTTCATTGCCAGCCAGTGATAGAACAAAATAAATTTAAAAAAATTGCATGTACATGATTAATTTGCAAATTAATAAATTGAACTGGTTTTAAGAAATATTTTAAAAAACATGAAATTTCGAATAAAAAATGAAAAGAGAGGTTTTTAATCCACAAAATGTTCTGGAAATTCAATTAAAGTTCAATTAAATGACAAATTAAGTATTGAAAAATGTCATGATTTTATTTTGAGAAAATTATGCGATTTAAAAGAAATTTCAGCAAATATTTTCTTTTAAATTTATCACTACAAAAGACATGAGCTAAATTATATGGGAATTGGTTGCAGAACAGCATCGTTCAACCACTCCATTTTATGTAATAACTTTTTGTTGGTATGATTATCGTAATTTCGTCGAGTGAATTCAATTATTTTCATTCCACACCGAATTGTGAAGGAGAATTAAAGATTTTTCAAGATTATTTTATGCAATTATTTTACCGTTTAAGTCGACTACAATCCATTCACTTTCGAAATCAGTATATAGGGGGTTCGTCGTCTAGATTGCGAAATTGCTTCCTCACAGTGTGTCCCTTAGTAACATTGTCATAGAACTCCCGCCTTCTCCGCAATATTTCCAATTCGCTGACTCCCTCGTCTTCATCATCACTCGTATCGCTATTTGCAATGAAGTTAATTTCTCCAACTGTATTATTCTTACTCTTTACCTCATTCATCCAGATAATAATAAAAGATAATAATAATGATGACTGAGCATCAGTCATCGTTATTTCAAACAGAAGATGAAACAATCCTATGAAATAAATCGAACCTTCCCTCTCACTTTTCCGTCCTCCTACACCTCGAAAATCACAACAGCACCACGAGATTTCTTATCTTTCACTTATTATTAGCGTTCGCTCGTTAGTGGTGGCGGACTGCCGGAAAATTCGCGCATAGCAATAATGGGCTCATTAAACGTTCAAGGAAGACCTTGGGTCAGAATACGAAAGTGAAAAATACAATTGTATTTGTGGTGATTAAACACAGAGAAAGAAATGTGTTTTGCATTAATAACCATACTTTGCAAGCGGTGTTACTGAATAAGTGGAGAAATTTTTTAACATGGATATCTCTATGGTTTCAATATGGGGGGTCATTTTGGGAAACGATCCTTATGTGCAGCGCCATCTATCGGAATTCTAGAAAATTCTAGACATTTTAATGTAATTCGAGAAGTTTATAGAAAATTCGAGGGAATTCAACGAGTTTCTAGAAAATTCGAGAAAATTCAGTAGCGAAGTGGCAACAGGAGATAAGTCAATTTTGACTATTGACTAGTTTTCTATGAATATCTCGGAATCTAAGGAAGATAGCAAAATTTTTGTTACAACCTTTTTTGTGAAGCCCATTGAGTGCTACAACAAATGTAATTACAACAGTTTCGCTATCTCCCTTAGATTCGGAAATATTTCTCAAAAACTCAACTGGGAGATGAGTCGACTTATCTCCGTTTACCACTTCACTACTGAATTCAAGGAGTTTCCAGAGAATTCGAGGGAATGCAAGGAGTTTCTAGGTAATTCGAGAAAGAAGGAAAGACCATGGACGTATCCACGTACAATTACAGCTGTATCGAAGGGGGGGTCTCCGCTCCCTGAACCCTCCTTCAGCGCCTCACAAATTGAACAGTTGAAAATCAAACAGATCAAGAAGATTTATCTTAATCCATGAACAGAGTTGAAAATCCAGAATCAATTTTTTCAAATCAAGAAATTCTTTTCTTGCTCAATTGAATCAATCAAAAAGAATCAAATGAAGAATCAAATAATGTAATGGCCCTTTAAAAAAAAACTTCAACATTTTATCAATCACTCTCCCCACCCATTTGTCATCACTACAATATCGAATATAATCGATAGATCGAGGTTACCCATCAGCCGTCTCGCACGTGTGGGCTGATGATACGGCAATTTGAAAGGACCGGTATTAAAAATTAATTTCAATTCCCCTCTGACGAAAGCCAATTCTATGCTGATCCCGAGTGATCCTACATGGAACCGTATGCCATGTATGCTTTGCATGAGCGACGTCTTGACGTAGGATGACGCCTGCTGTACAATACTCTTGCTTTCTAAAATAATGAGCAAAGGCCTGCGTGTGTGCGTACTCGCGTGCATCGAGCCAAGAGAGTTACAACAATAATACAGTCTTGATGTGTGGGTGATACTCGTATGATGATTCCAGAAGAAGTAATGCAAAAAACACCATTAAAAAAAATCAAATCTTGAATAAATGATGAAATGTTTTTATGAAATAAAATAATGCGATTTTAAAACATTTTGTTTTGTTCGCTCTACTGTTTCTTTAAAGAGACTTATTTTATAGAAAAACGGTCTTCATATTACGAAGATTATTAGATAGATATTAATCAATAACTCGTTAATATGGACCTTAAAAACGAATAACAGAGACAAAGCAAATGAACTGTTCATTTTTCTTGTTAAGGATATAAAATTGAGATCTGAAATTGACTGTTAAAATTTTCTTGAAATTTCAGTCACGTCATCTGAATTTTCAATGTTGCGAGGTTGAATACAATTTCAAAGGAAAACGCTCACTAAATTTCTTATTCATCTTGAAAATTCAAGAAATTTGGGTTTTTCATGTTAAACAATGATGGATTTTTCAATGAAAGCTTGAATTTCCAAACTCATCGTGAAAATTGAACATCACATACAATTCAATTTTCAATAGATTGAAAATTCAGAAAAGTTGTTGCCTGAATTTTCAAAATTTTCAAGGTTTTTCAGTGCCGTATGGACCTGAAAATCGAGAATTACTTGAATATTCGAGAAATAAACTGATTCGTCAATGAAGAAATATACAGAAATTTTGTGTAACTTTGTCATTGTTAAAAGTTTGAAACTTTTTCACTTGAAATTTTAAGAGTAATTTTCTAACAGTGTTGTTGAAGCTACAGTTATAAACTTTTGAATTATCACTCGACATCATATTTTTGAGTATCGGATAACCGTTTTGTTACTATGCACACCAATCTAGATGCTGTGGCGGAATAATCCTTTTATTTTCGATTCTTATCTTTATTTTATTATTATTCATTTTTCTTATAGACTTGGTGCCTGCCCCCCTTGCATCAATGTGTAATGCAAATGAGATGCAATGAATAAATAAATAAATATTAATCAATAATTATAATAAATTATCAGTTAACAATTATTGTTTGGGTGTGAAAAATGTGTTAAAATACTAAAATCTCGATCAACAATAAAATTTCAGATGAAAAATAATTGACACGCGTTTTTATTCCGATAAATAATAAAAAATTGATAAGTTGACTTCTTGATTTTTCATGATTTATCAAAATAAAAACAAAAACGTATAATGCGTATCGAATATAATGCATATCAAATATACTTTTTTTATTAAACGAAAAAATTTGATGCAGAAATCCTATCTTCCCTCAATTTCTTTCCACACATGAGCAATTTAAAAATAAACACATAAAAGAAGCCATGTATAATGACAATAAGTAGCGTGATACAAACCCGTAAGCAATAACACAAGCCACCTATCACTTACTCATGAAGTAGATACAGACTCTCAACCGCAATGAAATGGGGCGTTATTTACAAACATAAAAATCCCCCTCAGCACGCAAACGCAAAACAACAATGCTCAATGGATTTAAATCTTATTTGGAATAGCTAAATAATCAATAAAAAGAACGTTTCGTCTATTAAAAAATCCCCCGAGGAGATATATCTGACGTATTGTGAAACATCAGGAGTGATTCATCGTGGCTGGGGGCCTCACGAGAGACAATAGATCGGCCTAGAGAGGAGAAACCATCGCAGACACACCGGAAAACTTGGAGAGACATAACACACAAGAGTTTATACCGGTACACGGCCGCAATAATCCTCGTTTTCTTGGGGTCGGCCTACTACTACCGTTCACAAGCCAGACGACCTCTTATTCACCTACTCAGTTGGTTTTATTCTCATTGGAAAATTTTGAGTGTATGGTGGAGTAATGGATTATTATTTCAGGAGTCGTGCGGAGCAACGATTAGACTCATCATTGTCGTGACACGTGTTTTTTCAGTCTTTGTGAGTTCATTATTGTTCCTCTGTTGTTGATATGAATCTGTTTGGTGACAATATTCAGGGGAGCGACATTGAATTCCATTTAGGAGGGAAGAATCATGAAATTTCAATTTTCACTGAGAAGTCAATGGAATTCCAAATTTTGCAGCAACAGAAGGGAGAGAATTTCTTAAGGTGTTTCGGTTGAAAAGTCAAAATAATGAAAAAAATTTGGAAAATTTAGGGGAGAAATTTCTACGTATGCTGCATCATTGGGAATTCTTGCACGTTTTCTTCAAATCTCAGTTTCAAGAAGAAAAATAATGAAGTTTGGATGTTTTTGTAACCCCTCCAGCTATAACCTCCGAGGTTACCCCACTCTCAATTATTCTTTTTTCAAATGTAAATGAAAACCTATTTCTCGCAGCTGTCTCTTTATCAGTTCTTATCATTTTTTTCATCACTCATTAACATAAATCTCATGGTTGAGTGAGTCTGAGAGTGAGGAGAGTCAATCTATTGTGAGGTCACGTAGGCCATACGGAATTTTCCAGTTCGATTTCACATGCAATTCAGCTAATACATTCAAACACTAAAATTGAATTGGTGGATTTTTTCTAGTTTAATCATTTTGTAAACTGTTTATGTGAGGATCCTGCAATGCTTTAGGAGATTAATTAATGTTCCTGAAGCAACAACGAATAAATTGTTCAACATTTCACTCAATTTAAATATGAAAATGAAAAAATATTTTCTTTTCGTATTGAAATTTTTACTGTCGTAATACCAGCTCATTATTGCTCTCAGTTCATTATCATTTTTGCTATTAGTCATTACTCATCACATGAATCCCATGGTCGACTAAATTCGACAGTCAAGGCAACAAAAAATTCAATTTAAGGCCACCGATTTTAAAAATAATTTCATCCACAATTCAAGGCGGAAATGACAATGGGATTTTTAAAAGGTTTTTTATATTTAATATTCTACTGAGATTCGTTTACATTCATTCTGGAGGAAAATTCATGCTCTTCCTTGAATGAAATGAAGAATACAACGAATTCGATTCCATTTTTCTTCCACAATTTTGACTTGATTAAAGGAACAGAAGAAAACCTCAATTTGAAATTGCTTTTTGAGGTCTTCTGGGGGATTGAAAGTTGGCAAAAGGGTTTATCGGCACGCCACAGTCGTTTCAGTACCCAACGTATCGGATAGCCGAATCCATAACCCGTGCCAGGAACGAACCGTCACCAACTGCTCAACCCTTCTTTCATTGCTGATTTATGCATCTCACTGCGGACATGTAATTAGACACTGGAATCACCACCCATGAACTTTAAATGAGATCAGTGTACTAATAGGGAAGAGAAAAAAACCATCTCAAGAGAACAAAAAAATTAACCTTAAGTGTTCTTAATGAGAGACCGAGAATAAAAAAAATCCATCCAAACGAACAATTTACAGTGAAAAGGAAAAATTTTCAGTTCGGGGTTGATTTCTCCCAGGAACTTTCACGTCCTGGGGGAAATCAAAATTACAAAAAATTTATCTTGACATTTTCTCCTGAACTACTCCTTTCGGAAAGGAATGTTCCATTGACATCAAAAAAATTTCCAATTTCCAATTCTGTGTTGAAGCGATACAACAGAAAAAGTTACTATTTCATATCTTGTTAAGAATGAATCTAGCTCATTAATGAATGATTTTGAGAGAAAGTGTGAAGGGTCATTTTTTGCTAGAAAGGCCCCAAAAATTGTCAGCTACAAAAAGTCTCCAGGCATTTTCTTCTGAAGTTGCACCACATAAATGACCCCATTGAGCTTAAAACATTTCCAATTCTGGATGAAAGCGATTAAGCGTGAATAATTTTCTTTCGTTTTGTTAAACACGGATTAAGTTTTTAGTATTTTTTAATTTTTTTTTGTTCATTCTTAGTCAATTTTATCATTAGGCCCACTAATTATTTTCATCATTCCTAGATGAACATCAGACCATCCACTCAATCCTCATTTGACCCGAGTAAATCTTTTTGTTATTTAAATTATGAGATCTAAACTTGATTCTCCATTGTGAAGCGTTAGAAAACATTCTTTTGATCCGAAAAAAATTTCATCAAATAATTTAGGAAATTACAATTTTAGGGAATTGAGAGACAGACTTTCTTCATAAACAAAAAATCACTTTGAATCACATGCTATAGAGTTGGATATAAAATTGACACGTTGAATATGAAATTTATCGAAATCATGTTACAGAGAAAAAAATTTGGAAATAGAAAAATTATTGGGAGTAGTTCGCACCTCAAATCCTTGTGGATGTGAGTTTCAATACCTCTTACATTTCAAGGAATTATTAATCCAAGAGTATTGATTTTTTAGCTGTATCCAAACATTTTGGTGGATATGACTCAAGTCAACTATTTCATTTTTTTTGTGTTTGTAACTTCTCTTCAAGTTTAAGCCATTCTAAATTCTCAATTACGCTCCAAGGATAGAAATCGATCAACATTATGTTGAAAAAAATATTTAATCAATAAATTGAGGATATTAGGCATGAAATTATCTCAATTTTCACTGAGGTATAAATTTTTTCAACAAACGGAATTGCTTTTAGTCCTTCAATTTAAAGATGAATTTTAGATTAAAAAAAAAATAGTTTCGTGCAAAAGTAATTTTAAAGGCGCAGACTATCCCCCCCCTGACCGCGCAATAAATGCCTCAAGCATGAAATTATCTCATTTTTCATACAGGTATAATTTTTTTCAACAAACGAATTTGTTTTTAGTCCTTCAATTTAAAGATGAATTCTCAATTTTAAAAAATAATAGTTTCGTACAAAAGTAATTTAAAAGACGCAAACTATCCCTGATTTTTTCGAATCATTGATAACAAAATTTAATGATAAAATCTTTAAATCTATAGTGTGATCTATACTTCAAGAAGCGCTTAGAGAAAAAGGGTCAAGAAGCATTTTTTATCAGAAATTTTCTCATCAACAAAGAAAATCCCCAAATATTTTCTCTTGAAGCCACTCCTTCCCACCATGAATCCCCAATTACTATCACCAGCCATGTAAAATTCAACCTATCACGTATTACACCCCGATATTCAGTGAAAGATAAATCCTCAAAAATTAAAATATAATTCCCATCAAATATTGGACCAATTGCGTAGGTTATAGAATGGGAGTTATCGCATGTAGACACGTATTGAAATCCGTACCTGAATAAATACTGGTGAGTCACGATCGAATGTTACAACCTCGGGGTATCACCACACGAATATATACCATGTACACTGAAAATACAACTCTTCGAGGTCCCAAGTCGTGCCTCCATACTCTCATTACTTCCCCCTAACAATTCTTATCCCCCTGTGCCATGTACAGCTTGAAAATAATAATTTACATGACACCATCATGACAGAAACAAACCGATGAAAATTATTATTCATAATTTCTTCGGTTTTGAATCCATGTATCAGTCTTTGGTACTTCGTAAGAGTAAATTTAAACGCGTTAAATCAGTCAAAATTGGCCTTGAATATTACTCAGGTACTTTCGCTCCGAAATCAAAGGATAGTCGGACTCGATCGATACATGAGTAACTGAAATATTATTCGTTAAAATTATGAGAGGGAGAGAGAGAGAGAGAGGGAGCCCATTTTGCTGTGAGTCACGTTCGCCTGGGTAACCGCGTCACAGTCACCAATACAAACGTTGGTTTGTGCGCTCACTTGATACTGTAGGATTTCACTGTACGCGTACGCAATGCCACGAGCATTGCAATAGAATTAGCACCTCAAGGAATATTATTTTTTTCTGCCTTGAACAATTGTAGGTCGTTTTTATTCTGACGTTCATTGGGTAGAGAAAATTTAATTGATGTATCTATCGATTGAAATAATGGCGGAGTGATAAATTATGTGACATTCATTTGGTATGAAATTTATTGGATTCACGGGGAAGATAAATCCCGATAAATATTTGATAATTGCGAGCTCATAAAAAACATTTGCTAGTTAGTACTTTTTTTAAAATAAATTTTTGAAAAATCACCCCTGAAAAAAAAGGCGTTATCTCCCCTATTTCATTATTTCCAACAAATTTTATCACCAATCGGTAGCAAATTGTTTGAAGATTTTTGCGAGTTAAGAAAAAATCGTCAATGCACTCCTATTATTGTGCAAATTAACAATTCCAATTTCAACTGAAAATCAGAGTTGATTACCAGAGTTTGTAGCAGAGCTGTCAGACAAGATATGAATGTTTTTTTGGCTCAAATGAAAGAGCGGGTCGAGAAATGGCGTGCAGAAGTCTTTAAAGATGACAAATCTCTCTAAAGATGATGTCTGTTTTCAATTGAAAAGCGCAATTGTGACAACATTTTCCAGTGGGTTCTAGGAGTCTCCCCTGGTTCAACACCATCTTTAGAGGTCCTAGCACGCCATTTCTCGACCCGCTCTTTCGTTTGAGCTCAAAAAAACATTCATATCTTGTCTGATATCTTTGCTACAAACTCGGGTCTACAACTCGGGCCTTCAATTGAAGGCCCGAGTTGTAGGCCCGAGTTTGTAGCAGCGATGTCAGACAAGATATGAATGTTTTTTTGAGCTCAAATGAAAGAGCGGGTCGAGAAATGGCGTGCAGAAGTCTTTAAAGATGACAAATCTCTCTAAAGATGATGTCTGTTTTCAATTGAAAAGCGCAATTGTGACAACATTTTCCAGTGGGTTCTAGGAGTCTCCCCTGGTTCAACACCATCTTTAGAGGTCCTAGCACGCCATTTCTCGACCCGCTCTTTCGTTTGAGCTCAAAAAAACATTCATATCTTGTCTGATATCTTTGCTACAAACTCGGGTCTACAACTCGGGCCTTCAATTGAAGGCCCGAGTTGTAGGCCCGAGTTTGTAGCAGCGATGTCAGACAAGATATGAATGTTTTTTTGAGCTCAAATGAAAGAGCGGGTCGAGAAATGGCGTGCAGAAGTCTTTAAAGATGACAAATCTCTCTAAAGATGATGTCTGTTTTCAATTGAAAAGCGCAATTGTGACAACATTTTCCAGTGGGTTCTAGGAGTCTCCCCTGGTTCAACACCATCTTTAGAGGTCCTAGCACGCCATTTCTCGACCCGCTCTTTCGTTTGAGCTCAAAAAAACATTCATATCTTGTCTGATATCTTTGCTACAAACTCGGGTCTACAACTCGGGCCTTCAATTGAAGGCCCGAGTTGTAGGCCCGAGTTTGTAGCAGCGATGTCAGACAAGATATGAATGTTTTTTTGAGCTCAAATGAAAGAGCGGGTCGAGAAATGGCGTGCTAGGGCCTCTAAAGATGGTTTTGAACCAGGGGAGACTCCTAGACCCCACTGGACAATGTTGTCACAATTGCGCTTTTCAATTGAAAACAGACATCATCTTTAGAGACATTTGTCATCTTTAAAGACTTCTGCACGCCATTTTTCGAGCCGCTCTTTCATTTGAGCCAAAAAAAACATTCATATCTTGTCTGACATCTCTGCTACAAACTCTGGTCATCAACTCTGGTTTTCAGTTGAAATTGGAATTGTTAATTTACACAATAATAGGATTGCATTGACGATTTTTTCTTAACTCGCAAAAATCTTCAAACAATTTGCTATCGATTGGTCATAAAATTTTTTGGAAATAATGAAATAGAGGGGATAACGCCTTTTTTTTCAGAGGTGATTTTTCAAAAATTTATTTAAAAAAAAGTACTAACTAGCAAATGTTTTTTATTAGCTCGCAATTATCTTCAAAACTACTTTAATGAGGAGAAAAATAAAAATTTGGAATATCTATACATGAGGGGCTAATTGATCGGATCTTTGATTTTATTCCAAACGTTTTATGTCGGCCATGTTGAAGCATCAGCGTCGCCTCGCGCCCGGTAACATCGCGAATATTGTGCACCAAGGGAGGATATAATATATTTCGTTCGTAAGGCAATAGTACATTATGTCATAAGGCCGACATCCTTATAGGAGTACCATGGGGTTTTTTACTCGTGTGGCATTGACGTCCGAGCCGAAGGCGAGAATTGATTTTACGCACGACCTTGAACTTTACACACCCAGTGCGCAGAACCATCGGGAACAATTGGAAATAGTTTCTCTCGCATTCTAGGAAATTTCATATTCATTTCTGTGAATGAATTCATGTTTCGTAGGAAAAACGAGAGTATTGATTTTAAGTTATATTGAAATATTCTGTGGGTATAACTCGAGTCAATACACTATTTCAATTTTTTTCCTAGTGTTTATAATTTTGGTTCAAGTTTCAGTCATTCGAATTTCATAATTACACCACGAGGATGCAAATTAATCGACATTCCATTGAAAAAAATAAAGAATCAATGCATCAATTGAGAACGTCAGATATAAAATGTGCAAAAAAATCATCTGGATTCTTTTTGTTGTTATTCAACTCAGATGAATTTTTGAGTATTGCTATTATTATACGCGAATTTTGTACCTTCAAGGATATTTTTCTTAAAATAAAATCGGAACTACTTCTATTTCCCGTAAAGTCCAAAACCGAATTTTCTCTTTTTGCAAATACATCCCTGACTTTGTGAAAGATAGCAATCATGAATCTATACGATCATGATCGAATCCACAATAAATAAACAATTGTCCGCCTACTTAATCTGAAAAAAAAAACGAAAAATAAAATTTTCTCTTGCCTCTCACAAAGAAAGTAATACTCCCCAAAAAACTTAATAATACTCGTCTACAGTGAGAGTGCCCGATACCCAACCCAGTGTCAATACAAATCGATCGTTGAGACAAAAAAATGGTCATTTTCAATTCGTTTTGTGGTGCGTGTCGCGTAGAAGTCGAATGTAAACCGACCGCAAGGCGATACCGTTACTGATTTTTTTAGCGCGGTCAACACGCGACTCGACGTAACTGAGGTGCCAAAGAGGAAGGAGAAGTAAGGGGATTTAAACCGCATCGACTGATGAGAGGAGAAGCGAGAGGGAGGTGATATTAGTTGGGACTTGCAAAAAAAAAATAAGATGAAGAGGAAATGAAGAAAGGTATGTGTTATAAATAAGTTTTGAGAGCACACGTCCGGCGTCTCCTGTAAACTGGATCAGTCGATGGTATTCTTGATGCACCTTGACTGAGGGCTCAGAAATACCGAGAATTTTATAACTACGCTGAGAGAAAAATGACCCAATATCAGAGAACCAATTTCTCGGGTGTAATATAGAGTGCCATTGATAGAATAAAAAATGAAATTTCATAGTGAGTGACCCAATGATTGCTGATTTCAAATGATTTCATAAGACTTTGACCCCGATTTCACGATTTCAAATGATTTCCACTGATGTTAAATGATAATAAATCAAATTTATTATGAATGATATCATATTCGTCATAAATTTTTATTTTTTTCTTGTTTCAAAATAATATTTGTCATTTCATCAACTTGGTGATGGCAAGTAGTATCAGATGAAATTACTTATAATACAATCGATAAAATCACATTCCACTGATTTCATTCGATTTCAAGTGATTTCATCCTAAAGTTACACAGTGATTTCACCAGTGAATAACCTCTCGGACAGTTTATTCGTAATGTTCAGGAGAGCGACACTAACTTCTATTTAAGGGAGGAAAAATCATGAAATTTGAAATTTCATTGAAAATTCAATGGAATTGGAGATTTTTGAACAGCACGGAAATGAATATCTCCTGAATTATTTGAATGTTCAGTAAAGAGATAAATATTCAGTACCAAATTATACCGAATTTTCAATTAATTGAAAATTGAAGAACATTTACCTAAATGTTCTAAATGTTCTCAAGAGATCGTAATTTTGTGTCACAAACTGAGAAAATGACAAAAGACACCAAAAACTTCGATCCAGTGAATCGTGAATCAGGGACTTTCGTACTGAATAAACACAGAATTCATGCAAAGGAAAACCTCCAGATATATCTGAATTATGACCGTTGCTTGCTCTCAATCGCAACGAGTTCAAGAGAAATAACATCATCTCGTTATTCCAGACTCGTTATTCAGATTCTCGTTATTCTTGAGGTCCCGAGAATATCATCTCATTTTGAAAAGAAAATAATTATCAATCCATCAATATCGTACGAATTCATTTAGTGTAGAGCACCATTCCTGAATTGATCGATAATATAAACCATTTTCTTAGGTCAAGAATTTATTCCTTATTATCTCAGTTCATTTTTTCTCTCAGCGTAGAATGCGCATCGATGAATTGAGAAATGGAAATTTTTTACTTGGCTTACCCGTACGATGAACTGGAATCAATTGTTGTTGTGCTCATTGTATAATCATTGTTTTCATGAGATGGAATGAATAGGGGTACGTGACGGGGCTCGAAGAGCGTCTCGAAGCCATCGGTAGATTGATTACTGATTGAAAAAGCATCATATCAATGTAATGTTGAGGCAAAAGCAAATTATTCAAAAAAATTTCATTTGGATTTTTTACTAGAATTTTTTTTCAGTAGGTAATTTACAGCTGCATAAAATACGAATTTGAATTAAACTAGTGTTCGTATGATTTTGCAAACATCTTTAAACTGGAGAGGTTAAACAATATTTTTCAAGAAACTATCGAGGGATTTTCAAACGAAAATGGAAGGTTTCGTGTTAAAATTCCTTGAACCCCTTTCTTCTGAGAATAACTACACGGAGAGAAATATTCAATAGAAATTACGTATCTTTTCCATAATTTCGGAGCGAAATGTGGTTGTAGGAAATTTTACGTAACTGTCACGAAATTTTTCTGGAGCTTTCCGTAATTTTTATCTGAATCTCCTGTGAAAAATTACGATACCGTCACTTAAATTTTCTGAATCGATTCCGCGACTCAGAATCGGTGAGTGAATTGTGAGTTCCGTAATTCTTGTTGAAAATTTCTCTCCATGTACAAAATAATACACGAATTCGATTTTATTTTCGTACTATCCAAAAAATATCTCGGAAATAAAGACGTTTAAGGGACTTCATGCGGAGGTTTTCCCATAGCCCTTGAAATGTCCTCCAAGAAATCCCCTCGATAAATTACCTCAAACCTCTTCAGCCCAAAGATATAAACAAAATAATCCTCCAATAAATTCTGCACTTATCTCATTCCCCACTTGACATTTCATTTATCCCAAAAATATTCAAAAACATGTCTGACTTATCGTTTGAGACCTTAACCCCGATCGAGTCTTTACTCTGATTAATCCACCAAGCAAATCGATGACTCACACCCCCTGGAAGCTATAAAAAATCACTGAATGATTCTACAAATCCCGTTAAGTCGCTCCACAACATCAGACACGTGAGTTTTGACTCAGTCGTCCGAGCAACCCGGTGGGGGTCACTAGAGGCCCTAGATAATCAACCCCAGTATGACAAACCACCTACGAAGCCCATGTGGTGGCCACTCGGATCAATAGACCTGAGAACTCATTTTCTGAAGGTTGAATAGGGAACTTGCATGAATTTTTTATTATTTTTCAATCTCAAGTTTCGATCTTTAATGATTAATTTTTCATTCATAAATATTTGAAATATTGCTCCTTAACGCGGCTCTAGTGTAGCTTTCTTAGCCATCCCCACGCTGTTATGACTGGACCAAAAATATGATCCTTCCCGAGAAATGTAAAATTTCACGCCCGGTTCCATTATCCGCCGAAAGTTATCTAAATTGATTTTTTTGTTCGATCTTCATCTCGAAATTTCAACTCAATGCTACTACTTTGAAAAAAAAAGTAAAAAAATACTGAACATTATGAAAGAGAGTGATAAGCGCTGCGCCGTCTGTACATTCTCGAGCGCAGAGTTGCCAGAGCCATACGACACTATAAACATATCACCGGCCAGCGAGATCCGATCAATTAGCCCCTCATGTATAGATATTAATGTTATGACGTCATGACCGAAATAATAAGCTTCAAAAACGTCTTATTTTCAAATATCTAGGAAATATAGATATTTTATGATAATTGATTCGATAATTGACTGCATAATTCATGTAACTATCTTCGAGTTGAATAATTAGGGGTGAAGGGGTGAATAATTAGGGAAAACTGAGCTCCGTGACAGCACGTACCCCATTCGCGCGTGGAGTGCAGCAGCAAAGTCTCCTGGATTTTGGGCTATTATAACACCATCTTCATTTATCACATCGGCGAGAGTTAGTCGGCGAATGCCATTGGTGCTCGTATTGACACCACTTGAGACCATCAGACGAGTTGAATAGTCCAGGGGTGATAAAATTGTTGAGACTCTCAGGTCTGCTGAGCTGCGTTCATCCACTTCAATGTACCAAGAATATTCGTACAGATTCATTTTAGGGACAAGTGGAGTAAAATTGATACTTTTGCGTTCCCTTGAAATGTTGATGATTCATTGAACTATTGATGAAATGAGATAATTTTTTTTTGGAAGGACAATTCTTCCCCTTCGTAATGAGCCTAGACTGAACTCAATTTATAAATTTGTTTATGAATTATCAATATTTTAAACAAAGTAAAAAGAGCCCATTTTCCCCCACTTTCTCCTACAGTGAAGTTGAGATGGTAATAACGGGAATTGAGTTGATGACTTTACTAATATTTTGGGTGGAAGGTGTTTAGGAAAATTTAGAGAGGTCTGTTGAAGATATTCCCGGAATGATCTAGATGTGAATAATAATTGCTCAATTTTTATTCCGCAAATGTAATTTTAAGAATTTCCCTGGACTCTTCAATTGTCTTCTTGTTTCTCAATTCTCTTCTCTTGCTTTTGAGGACATATTTACAAGATAGTTTAGAGAAAGATTGGCAATTTCTCGGGAACAAAAATGTTTTTATAGCCTCCGAAATTTTCTAAATGTCTTTTTATGAACTTTTCGAAAGCTGTTTCTTTTCAAAATATTTACGAAATAAACTAGACGTGAATTTTTCATTGAAAAAAGTCTCAGATAATTATGGTTTGATAACTATTCTGGAAATCGATAGGTTTAAGTGAATTTATTAGGAGATACTAAAGACTTTGTTTCATAATCTTCAAAATTCCCTGGAGGAAGTGTCTGAATTTTCCTAGAACTATTCCTTTTGAAAATATTGATGAAACAATCGACTGTGAACTTCTGAATTCAAAAAAGTCTTTCCCATTTGGCACTGCACCAATATTTTGGCAACAAAGAAGTTTACAGAAATTTATTGAGACATTTTTCCTGGAGAATTTCAAGATTTAGAAAACAAGTCTCATAAGGAACTTCTCTAATTATCTTCCATTAAAATATATTCACTAAATAATCTAAACATGAATCAAATTAGACAAAAAATTCCCAATCATCCATTCGCAAATATTTTGAGTCACAAGGCTCAGGAAAATTATAAGATATTTTTGTTGAAGATTTTAAAACCTACACAAGAATTCTCTGCATTAATTCTCAATTCCCAAACCCCCTATTCACCAAGCTATTTACCAAACAACAAACATCATTCACAGAACATCCTCAACTCATCTAATTTTCCCACTTCACAACTGAACATTCGTCTTCACTTTACTTGGAGCAGCATCTGAAGTTGAAGGATAATTGGCTCCAAAAAATTCTGCTAAATTTCCAGGTCTAATGGAGACAGCAAACGGATTGGATTCACTAGAGCTAGATTCCCACATGGAGAAATCCTCGTTAGAATATTCCGTATGACTCCCCATCTCATTAATATCATTTCCACTTTCCTGTTCTCGATCAACATCAGGCACACCTCCCAATCCCATCAAGCGCCTCAAGTGATTACCAAAGTTCGGTAGATTCCATCTGATCTACACATTTGCTAAGTAATATGAACGAAAGCGAATGACAAAAAAATCCCTGAGGATATCCAAGTACTTTAGCTATTTTTCTTCAGTGAAATACTGTTCTATTTTTGTAATCGAACATCAGAGTTTTCATTTGAACATCATTCAACCCTAAGTTTCCGCCCATTCAACAATGATTTTAGTGTTTAAACTTTGCAGATGTGAATTTGAATGGCGACAACGAACCGTTAGAAAATATTTTAAAAATCTGAAAGACATTAGGAAATTTACTTTTGGAGGAAGATTGATGAAATCATTTAAAAATTAGTTTTTGAAAATTACGAGCATTTTCTATAAATAATCTATAAACAATCAATTTTCCGCCATAAAAATCATTTGGTCGGAATCGTAACGAATTTATTAATATACGGAATTTTCCCAAAAATCAATTTCATGCCTGAAAAAATGAAGCTTCCAAAAGTTTAAACAATTTTAATTATTCATTGATAAACAACAAATGTTTAAAAAAATCATAATTCTGTGCAAAATGTGATTCAAATGACTCTGAATATTCATGATTTTTTTCAAATTTCCCTCGCGCAATTTAATTACCAAATTTGATGATTGAAAATGATTGAATCTACAGTGTGGTCTGCACTAAAAGATACTTGGATATCCTTAAATATCAGTTTCTCTCACTAGAATAATTTCTCCTCACTCATTCATTCCTGACAGAGCGAACGTGAGACTTTTAAAGTTACGAAAACAAACCATTTCACAGAGTCTCGTCGTTATGGATGACTTGTTAATTCTTTCATCAGTAGTTGGTAAACTCTCGGCCGATGAAGAGTCCACTCGATCTTGTGACATTATTAATTACAGTACACAAAACTCATGATTTATTTATTTTCATTCCTCTAGTGATAGTGAGGAATAATAATAGACGAAAAGTAAATTTGTGTCAATGTGACAGCCATTATGATAAATAACTCGAAGACAACTTCATGAATAAATAGTTGTTTTTCTAATTCTAATTGACGTACACTGCACAGTTAATCAATGGCCCATTGAGTACACCTGAGTTAATTCGATGTGCTTTGATTACTGAGAAGACCAACAGTACAATGTCCTATTTTTTTTCACTTCAATTCAAACGGTATCAACTCGTTGACTATGAAAATAATCCCCCCTCCCCTCGAGTTTTAGGTTCTGAGGAGTACAATAACTGAATAAATCGTGGAGGAAATGAAAAATTCATTTGAAATTTCCTCTGTAAATTTAATGAATCATTTGACCGAGGAAATAAGAACAAAAGCAGAAGAATTATAACCACGAAGATTATAAATACAAAAATCATGAGCTACCTCAATTACTAGAACCAATTGAGGGCGTGCAATCAGAGGCCAGATGCTGTCTCTGGGTTTTGTATTTCCAGAAAACTTATGAAACCCCGAGAAACTATTAATAATTCCTTTGTACTCCACTTTTGGTTGGAAACCCAAGACCTCTCGATTACTCGATTTTATCGACGTTGAACAATTTCGAGCGCAATAACTTTTGTCTCAGCATCCACTCCCTACGCACAGACTTCTGAGAACTCAGCTATAAAAATGATTGCTATTGTTCGTACGGCTGTGGAAAACGTTTGAAGCAAATGAAATCTGAAAAATTCGTGGATAAAAGCTTTTTATTGTTGTACCTTTTATTTGAAGGTATAACAATAATTTTGTAGATGTCTTTGAAATTCGTATGCCAGAATTTTTCTGTAGTCTATGAAATTTTCTACAAAAGATGTATTTTTATATTTTTTCGCAGAGGAACTCAATGCCTTCATGATCAACGAACAGAGAAACATTTCACGTTGTCCGAGACTAATTTTTATATTTTCTGATTATCTCAGTATTTCAGAAATGAATCACATCAGGGGAAAATGTCAAGAACCTTTTTTGTCTCGTCCCCTCAAAATTCATCGTTTCATCGTTTTGTAATTTTCAAAAATGATTGATCTGAAGCCACATTCCATACAAATTATTCTACGAATATCTTTGAAATGAATAAGTTTATCGAATAATGTCAGAAGGGCTCTTTTGTAGCCTCTGGAATCATCTGCAAAAACGTATTTTGATAAATCTGTCTAAAGTCCTCCACTCCGAAAATATTTACAACATAAACTGTACACACTAATTTGATTTGTCGTCTGTTCTACACAACTCCAATGTCGCTATTGACGAATGCTGCATTTAGCCCAATTAGATTATCTGTTTAATCAATTTCCTCTCATTACCAACCCCTCGACACGATGATGAATCAGATATTTACATAATGTAAATATTCATAATTTTACAGTTACAAAACGTATTCTTCAGAAGACCTTCCTTCCTACAGATAATTCGTCACATATTTCTGAAGTGAGTAGATGCATCGGAATATGTCAGAGTACCTTTTTTGTAGCTTATGAAAATCCCCACAAAGAAATTCTTCTCATAAATTATGCGGAACCTTTCCCTTGAAAGATATTTGCTTAGCAAAATTATTCAGCGTTTTCAATTTTCAGGATGAATTATTCTGGAGTCTCATTTCATACAGACTATTTTCCAAATAAGTTCAAAATGAATAGCATCATTGAAAAATAACAAAAGACATTTTTTGTAGTGCTTCATATTCCCCACAAAAAAGTCCTTCTGACAAATTTGCTTATATTCTTCCACTTCGAAGATATTTTCAAAAAAACTGTCCATCCTATTTCGATTGATCCTCTATTATACACAACTTCAATGCTACTATTGTCGAATGCCTCATTCAGTCCAATAGGTCCCTCTTCCCAATCAACTGCTCCTCATTAGCAACTCATCATCATCATGATGAATCAAATATTTTCATAAAGAAAAATATTGATCATCCTCATTTGAGAAACTTATTCTCCACATCATTCATATCATTCTGCAAATATCTTTGAAACTAGTAGCTTTATCAACAAAAAATTTCAAATCACCTTTATCATAGCCTATGAAATTTCTTGCAAAAAATTTCATCTGACAAATTTCTCTGACCCCTTCACTCCAAAGATATTTCTAAAATAAAATGCAAATTGCCATTCCGATTAATCGCCTGCTATACACAATTTCAATGCTACTATTGTTGAATGCCTCACTCAGTCCAATAGGGCCCTCTTCCCAATCAACTCCTTCTCATTAGCAACTCATCACCATCATGATGAATCAGGTAATTCCATACAGAAAAACATTCATCGTCCTCATTTAAGAAAACTATTCTTCATGTCATACATATCATTTCGCAAATATCTTTGAAACGAGTAGGTTCATCAAAAATTATGAAAACACCCTTTTCGTAGCCTGTGAAATTTCTTACGAAAAAGCTCTTCTGATAAATTTCTCTAAGCGCCTCCACTTCAACGATATTTAAAAAATAAAATGCACGTTCCGTATCCGATTTATCGTCAATTATACACAACCTCAATGCTACTATTGTTGAATGCCTCATTCACCCCAGTAGCAACATCTTCCCAATCAACCTCCTCATTAGCAATCCATGATGAATCGGGTGTTTCTATGCAGAAAATATTTTCGTCCCCATTGGAAAAATTTAGTTTCATCAAGAAAGATCATGACACTCTTTTCATAGCCTGTGAAATTTCTTACAAAACATCTCGTCTGACTAATTTCACTGACCCCTCAACTCCAGATAATCTTTTAATAAAATCCCATTCCGATTAATCGTCTATTACACACAATTTCAATACTACTATCATCATCCAATCCAATAGAACCCAGTTCCCAATCAAGTTCTCCTCATTAGCACTCCATCACCATCATGATGAGTCAAATAACTTATTCTCCACATCATACATAATATGTCCGCACTTGAAAAATTTAGTTTCATATCATAATTACCATTTCGCAAATATCTTTGAAACGAGTAGCTTGATCAAAAAATATCAAAACACCTTTTTCGCATCCTGTGAAATTTCTCACAAAAAAATCTCTTCTGCTGCTGACAAATTTCGCTGACCCCTCAACTCCAGATATTTTTAAAATAAAATCCCATTCCGATTAATTGTCTATTACACACAATTTCAATGCTACTATCGTCATTCAGTCCAATAGGACCCTCTTCCCAATCAAGTTCTCCTCATGAGCACCATCTTTAATAATCGACAAGCGTAAGTTCTATGAGTTCCCTATCTAGATACGCTTGTCTGTTATTAAGGTGTCGATATAATTTCCCAAAGATCTTTGAACGAGTAGCTTCATCAAAAAATGACAAAACACCCTTTTCATAGCCTCTGAAATTTCTTACGAAAAAAATCTGTTCTGCTGCTGACTAATTTCTCTGACTCCTCAACTCCAGAGCTATTTTTAAAATAAAATTCCGTTCCAATTAATTATCTATTATACACTATTCCAATGCTACTATCATCATTCAGTCCAACAGGACCCTCTTCCCAATCAACTTCCCCTCATTAGCACCAATCACCACCATCATGAATCAGATATTTCCCTACCAAAAATACTCATCGTCCTCATTTAACAAACTTACCAGATCATACATATAATTTCGCAAATATCTCTGAAACAATTAGCTTAATCGAAAAATGTCAGAAAACCTTTTTCGTAGTGCTCAAAATTTCTTACAAAAAATCTCCCCTGACAAATGTTCCTAAACCTCTCCACTCCAAAGATATTTCCAAAATACCGTTCCCCCCTTATACACAAAACTCTTTGTTCTCCCAATAAAATCTCTCCCAATCCTCGTCCCCCATTCCCAACCCCACCATCCCAGTGCCCCAAAACCACCCGTAATAACTCCAGAATACAATAGTGTGAAAAAATTGATTAAAAAATCATAAAACGCTGTAAGGTCGCGAGAAGGCGCGTTTTAACTTTCTAATCGTTGCCCCCGGCGTTGAGAATCGATAAATCGAGGACGTTACACTGTGCATGGGGTTCTTCTACTCACCGGATATGCGTATGGTGTGCAAGGTACGTAGAATTCTCTGCTCATAATACACTCTGCTGCCTCAATTTAACTCCCGATAAAATAAAAACAAAGAAAAAATAAACTGAGTGGTGGTTGTTACGTTTTTTTAATCCAGCTGATAGGGTATGTGTGGTTAAATGTCAAAAAGCCGGTGGTGCCATCTTGTGTTATGGTAAAAACCGTCAAGCTGTCACGAGGACGTATTTTCGACGCTTGGTGAACGACATCGTTCGATGTCTTTATTTGTCACCTCGAGTGTTAAACATCGAGCAATGGTACACATTCACTAATCATTATTTCACTTTGAGGTTAACGTTTGGAGCTGGAGTGTTATTGAATCATACTGGGTACACCCGTCCCTGTCAGATAATCCTCAAGGCACCAATCATTACACTAGACACTCACTGTTACTTTGTTTTGGATTGGAACTGTTGAGGGGCTGATGGGGCGGAGGGTTTTGAGTCTTGGATTTGCGGGGGTTTTAACGTTTTTGGGGTTTTCTTCGCGGTTTTGCGGGGGTTTTGGGAGTATTGCTGCACTGGAGCTACGCCATTTTCATTGAGGCATACCCGTAACACACCTGACTCATGCAGTGGATCTCGATAACGAACCCCAACCATTCGCGGGTGATGGCTGAAAGCCTACTGGCTGTCGTCGATCGCCTGAGGTGTCGATGCCTCGACGCGACACTAGCGCCAAGAGGGGGAATTGGCCGGTGGATACTGTCGGTGTTGCAGATTTTTATTTTTTTAAATTTATTTTTGTAGTTTTTGATATTTTTATTTATAAATTATAGTTCCGGTTGCGCAAGCTCCGGGTAACGAAAACGTCTGATAAGAAAAAAAGTAAATTTGGATATTCGATGGATTATTTTACCCGGGAGAGTAGGGGAGGTTGGGGTAAAATGGACACTTTTGATTTTTTTTTTAATGTTAATGACGGGTTGAAATGTTGATAAAATTTAATGATTTATTCTTCATTGCAAAGAACAATTCTTTCCCTTTGGGATGAGCCTAAACTGAGCTGAATTGATAAATTTTTTCTGAGTTATGAGTAATTAAAACAAAAGTTTAAAGTGTCCATTTTACCCCACTCACTCCTATCTTAAATTTATCCCAAGGACAAAAAATAAAATTTAATCCCAAGGTTGAATCAGTGGTAATGCAAATGGGGCTACAGGATAAATAAACAATTATTGTTAGGGTCAAATATTGAAAAATTATGAACCCTACTATATAATTGACCCCGAGGATAAATTTTACCCTGGGGTTTATTTGGATAACAGGGCTTGGTGCAATACCGCCATATTATATTTATTTATAAAGTATTTTATTTATAATTTATCGTGGAAACAGGGTCAGTGATTGAAATTGTCGTAAAATTTTGGAATTTTCGATTTATTATTGGATGATTGATTATATTTGCGGTTGAGGAATTTTATTTAAACAAAAATTGGGAAATGGTACTATTCAATGGGGTTAGAGGTTTTTTTTTAATGGGAAAGTCTCGTTTGTGCAGGCATTTGATCTCTTGATATTTACATTTTTATACGTAATTAAGAATTGAATTCAGAGAGTCCATTGATGACTAATTATTTCAGCTTCACTGACAATATTACAATTTTGTGAAAATAGTTCCGTCAACTTTGTATTATCAGTTGGAATTCACGATTTTTTTAGTCAAATTATTCACGTTCATTTTTCAAATTCGAGTTTTTTTATTATGAAAATTCAAGTGACGTACACTAAGAGAAATTCTTTAGGAACTAGTGCTGGTACTGGAAAAAATGCCAATCCACAGCTGATGAAAAATTCTAGTGCTGTTAAAGTAAAATTTCTAGGAATTTTTTATCAAATTCCGGGGGATTGTTATGAAAATTTCATATAAGAACGGGAAAAATGCATATGCTACTCAATAATATTTCCAATGCCATCACTTTGCGCCCTTATTCCCGTGTTGGAAGTAGAATTTTTCTAGAAAATCTCTCTCTATGTGGTATTTTAATTTCTTCTCTTCGTTACTGCTAATACTTGATCATTTTATTTCACTTGACTTGAGAAAATGTTGAAGAGCTCCAGTTGTTAAAATTCCTACAAAGAGTTCATTTTTTCATTGATGTCATTAATAATACGCACGCAATTGAATGCATTTTTTTCGTCGCATCGTTTTTGCTACTCTGATTGAATTTTATATTTTCTCCGTAGTGAAAAATCAGTAAAGAAAATACAATTGGAATGAAAAAGCAAGTTTTGAAATTTTCTAACTTGCATCCTTGCATTTTTGAAAACACGAAAAATTGATTTATCTCGCACCAAAACTGAATTAATTAACTGATTAAATTCCGCATCGTCCAGAACTCAAGTTTTATTTCGTAGAGTTGATTCTATTTGTTCTAAAAAATATATCGAAAAACGATAAATTTCAAGCAGAGATATTCCAATCCATTTTTCAATTCGTCTTGATGTCTGTCAACCGCTAAATAGGAGCGATGAAATACTGACTTTGTTGAATCGATACACCTCGCCAGAGATTTGAAATTTCATCCCACGACGCACAGATACCCAATCCGTCAATGTACGACCCGTTTACAATGGCATGCCTGAACCCATATGAATATTTGCTCCAACTTGGGGGTCCCGCACGGAACGACGAGACCAACTCCGAGGAAATTTTGTCATGCATGGAATCTCTGATGAGCTCCTAATTGGGTTCTTGTGTGGAATTTATTTCTTGAATAAAATGATGAAAACGAATATTCAACAAAAATCTTTAGATACGTATTTTTCTCTCCAAAAATGATGAAAAACTAAAAAGTTACAGGGAATTAAGGGGAGGTTCACGCCGGGAAAAAAAAATTTTTCGTCTTTCGAGAAAAAAAAATAAAAAATAGTATTTTCCGCGTGTTTTTTCTTTAGAAATTCGATTTTGTGGGTCAAATTGGTCTCCGCTAAAAATTAGAGATTCGATTTTAAAAAAATCGAAATATCAACTTGAAAAAAATCCCCAAAGTAATTTTTTTTTTAATAGTTTTTTTGAATATGATCACAAATTTTCGTTTCTTAATTATGAAAAATGCGGGAGAAGATACAGTTTCAAGTTTATTGGTCAACCAAAAGAAGTAGTTATTTTCAATGGATCGATTATGTTGATATTATTTATTTAAAGGGCTGAAATCTACATGAGATTTATTTACACTATTGATCCAGTTGAGTTAGTTAGTTTCTTAGTGGATGTAACAATGATCAATTATGTTCGCGAAATGTTTCATGAGTATCAATTAGAATGAGTGAATTTCCACAAAAAAATGAAAAACTACCGGAAACCGTACAAAAAAATTCACCTATCAGAATTTGAAAGAGGAAGCGCGCTGGCGAAATCCGGATACTGAGAGGAGCCCTCTCAACTATAAAGTAATAAAAGAGTAGGTACATCTATAGAACCACTAAACATAGAGTTAGCATTTATAAATGATGTGTATACATAATATTTGGGCAAGAATTCTTTTTATTGAGATATTAATAAAAATTTTGATAAACGAATAAACTTCAAAATGTATCGTCTCCCGCATGTTTATAATTAAGAAGCAAAAATTTGCGATCATATTTAAAAAACTCTTAAGAAAATACGTTGTGGATTAGTTTAAAATAGACTTTTCGATTAAAACAAATTCGAATTCCTAATTTTGAGTGGCCAGAGACAATTTTGACCGACAAAATCAGATTCCTGAGGAAAAATCACGCGGAAAATAGTATGTCTGAATTTTTTTCGTGAAAAACGACAAAATTTTCTCCCGGGCTGAGCCTCTCTTAAATAAATGTCTGTATTATGTCGTCACAACTCAGCCGTTTTTAATGGCCTATAATTTATTAATTCCCCGTCCAACTTTCGTATCCAGCAATAAAAAAAACTTACAAAACCCCAATTTCCTGGAAGCCCTAAACCCTGAAAAAGTCCTCGAAACTTCATAAAAAAAACGTAAATGGATTTTTAGAGAGCTGGACTGAAATCGGCGATTATCTTTTGGCGCCAGGGCACTTGAGAACTGAAAACGAAAACGTCAAATATATTTTATTGATCGTGCTCCGGGTACTACCACGAGACAGCTCACCAGGTAGTTTTCGATTGCTCTTCTGTTCTTTGGGGCAACGATTGCACGGCTGACACTTTTCAGCGCCCCCCGGGCGTCGTTTTGTCGCATTTGACGGGTGTTTTCGGGCCTTAGTTGCGATTATTATGTTGCGGGGTACCATGATGTCGTCCCAGGGCACCTCTATGTCGTCACCTGAACACGTACGTTCAACGGGTGGGGGCTTTATTTCTGGGGGCTCCTCGAACGACAGTTGGCCCCAGGGGATTTCCACTGACGAGTCACAGGCGGCGAGATCCGGGGATATCTGGGGCGACACCACGTCTGCCACTAGGAGGTCGTGCCAGGGTAGCTCCATGCGGCCAGTTGACTCTTTTTTTTTCATCGTTCAATTAAGATAATGGATTGATAGGCGAAAGATAAGGTACACTGAGAAAAAAATTATTTTTGCCAAATATTCATTTACTTCAGAGAAGCATTTGTTTTTTCAAAATCGTATTTCCAAATCGAGTCATTTGCAGGCGAGCCTGACTAGGATTCAATTATGACAATCAGCTTGCTCTAGAGGATGACTATGTTGCACATGACCTAAGATGAACTCCTCCAATGATTATTAATTTTTTCTAAACTTCTTATATTCTAGAGGGAAGAATTTGGATTAATTCTTTAATGTTGATAATTATTGAGGAAGTTCACTCAGGGTCATTGCTAACATGATCATCTTCTGGTGCAATATAATTGTTATAATTGAAACTTAATGAGAATTGCCTGGGAATAACTCGACTGGAGAAATACGGTTTTGAAAAAATGAATACTTCTCTCAAGTAAACGGATATTTGGTAAACATATTTTTTTTTCTCAGGGTAGAAATGAATGACAAGTTTAGAACGCTCTCTACCCGAAAATGTTTAGGCTTTTTTCTAGAGAAGTTTTATGAGATATTTACGGAGTTGTTGATATGCGATGCTCGATGAATAGGGGAAAAGATGATATTCCACAAAATCGTTCGATTTTTCTGTTATAAAGTTACTCACAAGGACAGGGACATGAGCTTCGGTTTAATAGGTATCAATGATTGAACTATTTAAAAAAGTAGGTTCAACAGGAATTCAGAACATGTCTCTTAAAAAAATTCATGGGTTGTAAAATTTCCTCTGAAACTGATGATTTTGAAGGGATTTTTGAGGCGGGTATCATAAAAAACTTTCTTTCATTTAAATATTTATTTGTTAAATTACTGGAGACAGCTGCATTGTTTTTCCAAGTTAAAAAGTTAAAATATACTATATTTAAAAAAATTGTTTTTTCTCCTGTGTAATGAGAAGAACATCGATTTTTTAAATAATCGCTGTTTTTTCATGAAATATCGATTCACAACATCGGTGTTATTGAAAAACATGACTTCTTCAGTAATCGATATCTTTTAAAACATCGCCCATCCCTATGTAGCGCTCACCGAAGGCGACCTAAGGATCAAAGAACACTTTTCCTTCGAGTATCGGATCTTATTTTTCATCGCAATGTGTCATCACGAGTGATAAAAAAAAATTTTCAGGACGTTTGCAAAATTAAATGAAAATTGTGAGATAAAACAAAGATTCGTCAACATACATTTTCAGATAATTTCGTAAATATCCCCTAAAGCAAAACACACGGAGAGAAATTTCCTAGAAAAATTCTAGTACGAGTACTGGAAAAAATTACAATCCACCGGCTGTAAAAAATTCTAGTGATGTTAAGGTAAAATTTCTTGGTATTTCTGGTAAAATTTCTGGGGATTTCTGTGAAATTTTCTCAGAAATACGGGAAAAAATTCACGTTTTCCCCAATAAAATTTCTAGTGCTGGCACTGGAATTTTGTCCATGCCGTCACTTCGCGCCTCTTTTCCCGTGCTAGCACTAGAATTTTTCTAAAAAATTTCTCTCCGTGCACCGACCAAAATTAATCACGGGACCTTTCTCGCAAGTTTCTCCTCCCTAAAAAAATTTCCCCTGTCATTTTTCTCCAAGCCCCTCAATTCCCGAGAAAAACAAATTTGTGAAGAACAAAAAAGGTGCATTTTCTGAATTGAAATGTCAAACCTTTTTTCTCCGGTTCTTCAACCTTCTCCGTATCTCCCTCCTCATCATCAGCAGTCAATGGCACTCGCACTTCCGGTCTGATGCGCATCCCAGTCAGTGGAAGAGCTATATCCTTCCAGGGGAGTTCCAGCGTCGAGTCGCATCGAATTGATGCATCGGAAAACTCTTTGTGGAGGCACACCATATAAGGCTCGTGCCAGACTTCTTCCTCGGGGCTCCATACCAAGTTCTGGCGTTTTCTCTTGCATTTTTCTCGTTTCCTCGCACTGGTTGTCGGTTGCTGGGCCGGACGCGTCTGCGTTGGCCTTGATATCGACGGCTTACCCCACACATAATACATCTTCCCGGCTTATTCAATCCTCCCAAACGCATTCTCCGCACTTTTTAATTTTATCCCAAACATTTTCGCAATTTCAATCTATCAAAATGAAGAAAAAATCATCATTTTTTTGTTACTTTCGTTAATCACAAGGTTAATTTATCACATTTTACGCCCCAAAAATCCATTGATTTGTTTCTTCCCTAAACAATAATCTCCAACAGACAAAGGTTAAAACCGCAAATACTATTTACCCGACCTACATTTCCCATTGAGCCTTGAAATTAATCTCAAATCACTTGAAATATCCCGTCCTTTCCCGCGCAAAGCCGCGATCTACCGTCAATCCTACGAAACACACCAGCATCGCACCAGTTGCCGATAAAAGGAAATCCGTGGAGACACCATCGTCCCCGGGTGCTCAAAATTTCCCCCGAAAATCTAAAAAAAACCTCCCCCCAGGCGTTTCCAACCCCCAAAAATTGACCAGTAATTATAAAAATAAAAAATGATCCCACCCTCTCCCTCCAAAAATCCCACCTAAAAACCGTTGCCCATCAATCGAAAAATAATTAATCACGAAATTGACCAGCGTAGTTGAACGACGTTTAGAAGTCAGCCATCTTGCAATCCCTAATCAAAGATCTTTGGCTAGCGGGTTTCGTTGTCTGGTTTTCGGCCAGTTAATATCAACACACAGTTCATCAGATGGCTTTAAAACGAATTAATAAGGTACGTCAATGTTCAATGAGTGTTAACAATCATAATTAATGTCCATTGTAACGTGTTGTGTGTATTAAATGGGTACAAACGCCCATAACGATTTTCGTCCCAAAAAAAGAATAAGTGGGGAAGCAATGTGAGCCAACAGAGCTAGAAGGGGCATTACGAGAATAATCATGCTGGCTTCAGCCTCACGTTTGTATTAATTCAGTATCAACCAATAATTCCACAGTCATCGATAACAATCGAGCCCATTGATCACGCCATTGAAACTATTAATCAACATTTCGGATATATTTTACATCCATGAGTCATCGAATATATACCGGCGAGCACTGGCCGTGGTGACAGTGAAATTATTTCGGAGTAAAAAGAATTTTCTCATTTTACAAATTAAATTCCCTCGACGTGCCGTTTTTCGCGTCATCAAGGGCATCAAATCAACCGGAAGTCAGTGGGAAATTTATTGTTGATTGTATGCAACAAAGGGGAGGGGAGAGGGAGCTGATAAAGAATAAAGAAAATGATTTTACATTTTTTTTCTTCTCTTGGAAAAATGAAGAGGAGAATAAAATCATGCTCGTGCCTGTCGTTTGTGAGTCACAAATGTCTCTCCGGAGTGTGTGATGGCCTCAGTTGTGGTTCTCGCATTATAACTGTAACATTGTGACGCTCAGGTTAGAGAAAACACTTTATGGGTCTTTTTTTCCTGGTTATTCGTGTCTTGTTGTGGAATTCATTGCGGATAATGTGAGGAAAATTGCGTTGTCATTAGGTTGTTGTTTATCAGTCTGAGATTGTTTTGATCGATATTAGAGTGATTAATGCTCCTGGGGGTTTACAAGTCATGAGGACAATTATTTGATGGTTACTGATGCCAAATTAGTCGATATGCAGAGGAGTGAAAATAGATTGTGACTCTTAAATGAGACGCACATTGTTGGTATCGGATTTTTATTTGTGTAATTGATGAAACGTGGGGCTCGTGGATGTTGACGAGGCTCATCACTGCGTTTGTCACTTCTCTTGAGGTGTATTGATTTATGGAGGGACTATATAATTGAGTAATTGAAGGCATTTCATTCACAAATATAAATCAAAGAAATTTGTGGGATTTATGATGCTTTTTATTTAATTAATGTTAATGTTTTCGGAGATAGTTAAGTGTGGAAGCGCTTGTTAATAATCTCTTGATAATGTTTCCACGTTTTTTGCCGCAGGAACTTCAGGATCTTGGAAGGGATCCCCCTGCACAATGCTCAGCTGGACCTGTAGGAGACGATTGTGAGTTGAAAACTACTTTTCCCACTATTAAAATCCCCCTGGACCCCAGCCAAATTGCTTTTTGAGAAAGAGTTAATACTTCTGATGATTAAATTCGAAATGTTTACTTGAACTATGGAATATCATCTTTTCTACATATTAAACGTCTGCATTACCCTCTGACGAGTCTTCCTAGTTTATTTATAGATCGTAACACTGACGAAGATATTTTTATTTCATTCCTATTAGCCAATGTTTTTTTCCTTCGTAATTTATTAATAAAACGGGTTTCGAGTTCCTTGGGAATGTATTTTCTTTAGTATGTAATTTTTGTTTATTAATTTTGTTCTGTTGAGGCTGAGTTTCCAAGGTCGACGGTTTCAGTGTCATATCGACATGGTCTTGAGTAATTGCAATGGCAATTTTTGTGGTTTTGGAGGCTTTTTATTTATAATTCGTTGCTCTAGGTTTTTACAGATTTGTTAATGAGATTATTTTTTATTTTTTCTTGCAGTATTCCATTGGCAAGCGACCATTATGGGACCAGTGAGTATTCCACTCCTAGAATTAATATTTCAGGATCATTTCAGTAGCAAAATGGTCAAACGGTTTAAGTCGACTCATCTGCCAGTTGAGTTTTTGAGGAATATTTCCGAATCTGAGGGAGATAGCGAAATTTTCGTAACTACATTTGTTGTAGCCTTCAATCGGCTCTACAAAAAAGGTTATAATAAAAATTTTGCCATCTCCCTTAGATTCCGAGATATTTATTGACAACTGGTCAATAGTCAAAATTGACTTGTACTGTTTACCACTTCGCTACTGATTTCAGAGTAACGAAAGTCAATTAATCGTCATTGTTTTCTTTTTTTCTGCAGCCTGACAGCCCTTATCAAGGAGGAGTATTTTTCCTTACAATTCACTTCCCCACAGACTATCCATTCAAACCTCCCAAGGTATGTTAAATGAAATATTAAATATTTATTCGAGCCAAATAATCATGCAACTCAATCGTAAATATTTTTCCTCTGCACAGGTGGCATTCACGACCAGAATTTATCATCCCAATATTAACAGTAACGGAAGTATTTGCTTGGATATTTTGAGATCGCAGTGGTCTCCAGCACTCACTATATCAAAAGGTAAAAGAAAATGTTTAATTTAGGGTTAAAAATATCCAGCAATTTTTCTCCTCTCGAAGCACAACATTATTTTTAACCAGATTCAGAATGAATACAATGTACCATTCAAATGACTCGTTGAATGATGCATTAAACTAATTTAATTGTCCAATCAGTTTAATTGTTAGATCAATCATTTTTACGTGGTTTTGTATATTTTGTTGGCTGTTGTTGTCAACATACGAATTTAATCAAAATTAAAAATTGAATTCAATTATTTTTAATCAGATTTCGAGTGAATGCCATGCATTATTCAAATTATGCATTCAATCCATTTCAATTGCCATTTTAATCATTAACGTATGGTTCTGTACATTTCGTCTTCAGTGTTTTAAAAATTAAACTGAATCAATTTAACCAGATACAGAATGACTGCAATGAATTATTCAAATGACTCGTTTGATGATGCATTTAATTGAGTAAATTGTCAAATTAATCATTGATACATAATTTTGTACATTTTGTTTACAGTGTTACTGTCAATATGCTCTCTGCTCTGTGATCCTAATCCAGACGATCCACTTGTACCGGAAATAGCAAGGATATACAAAACTGATCGTGAGAAGTACAACGAATTGGCACGTGAATGGACGCGCAAATATGCCATGTGATGCGCCAATTTTCGTTGACCTCATCCGAACGCCACCAACGAGCAGCCCCAGCCTAAAATGCCACTTTTATCGTTCAGCACCGATTACGAAGTAGCTATGTGGCTCGTCCTGTCTTAAAACCAACTGAGAGAAAAAGAAAAACAAATAATAATTAATCATGATCAATTCGATTTTATTCGAAGGCTCCTCTGTCATCACCCCCACCCATTGCCCCCCCCCCCCCCCCCCCCCNGCTGAGTGTTCAGGGCAGTCATCTCGGTTCCAACGATTTTCAAAATCAATTAAAAACATCTTGAGGAATTTTTTTTTCGCATTTTGTTGTTGTCTCTGTCCTGAATACCCTGCGTGACTTTTAAGACGACGAATTCTATGGCTACTGAGGCAATTTTCTTCTTTTCAAAAGGTGGTCACGTAAACATTATATATCTGAAAATTGAGATAAATTAAAGAAAAAAATGATTAAAAAATGAAAAAAAATGTTCGCTTTGATTTTTCATAATAAAACAAATTTGAATTAAGAAACAATTTTGAAAATGAGTAAAAACCGGTAAAACAATATTCACAACACAGACACATAGGAGAGTGAAAGTAGGATTTGTATTTGATGATGAAAAAACCAGAAAATCGAAGAAAACTGAACCCAAAAAAAAACAACTTAAGTAATTTAATTTCTACTGATTGTGCTTATCTTATTGTATATCGTAAATATCCCTACTTTCTTCAGTGAAAAAGAAGCAACTTCGAAACTGACAGCACACCGATTGTTAATTAGAGAATGAGAGAAATTATGAATGAAAATTAAATAATTCGCAGTTTAAATCATCTGCCCGTCCCGTTGAAAACGATGCGGTCAATTTTTTTTGTAAGACTGGGCTCTATATAAATAATACTATACCTCTATCAATTTTGTTTAATTATTAAATTTCCTCCCACCACTTTTTAATTCAAGCAAATTAGATGGAGATGATGGAAATTAGAATTGAAAATTAGTATCATTGTGACGCGGTTTTGAAGGTGTGAGAAAAAAAATTATAATTTAATTGTTAATTTACAATATCACAGGTTGAACGGCAAATTGGACTAGGGGCACTTGGCATAAGAACAATTGTATTTAATTAATAAAATATTTTAATTGAAATTTAATTCATTAATTGTGGAGTCAGTTTAGTTTAGTTTCTTGATTTCTTTTGCTTGCGCTTTGATTCAATTATTTCTAACATCTATTGGCACAAATTTAAAATGTATATTTATTTTTCAGTAATGCTTGCCCTCTTGTTTTGCCATTGGCCTAGTTGATAATTTGTCGATCATCCGGCTATTTAATCGCATTAATTAATTTAACTCTCCTCAGTGTACTTGTACGAATCATCTTTTATTTTACCTGAAGATTTCTCTTCGGCTAGAGTGGGCCCTTCTCATCTACACTGACGGTGAGGGCACATTTCATTCAATTATCTCGATTAGTTTTTTTATTATCTGACAATAAGATGTAATTCATGACTCAAGAGTGCTTTTATTGCTTGCAAACTTTTTCAATTGATACTCTTACAGTTTCTGTGGCTGTGATTGGGCCCAATCGAGACTGAAAATTATTATTGTTGGGATTCTGTGATGAAGTGGGAGAGCTTGAGTTGACATTAAAAATTTTCATGTTCATTGGGTATTTATTTCGGGATTGAATGCCTTGGGGAGTGGGAAGTGCTTTCATGTAAAAATTCCATTTGTGGTTCGCTTACTTTATGATTAAGTAGAGAATATTGTACAGAGAAAATCAATAGATTTCCATCTCACAATTGATTTTGTTGGAGTTGCTTCAATAAAGATTCCTCTGCTCAAATTTTCCAATATTTTTTTTTCATTTTTTAACAGTAAAAGAAAAAAGTGAGTTCAAAATTTCTGTAGAAAATATCTCAATAGAGTAAGTTGTATGAAAATTTGAAAATCTATTGATTTTGTCTATAAACTAATTTCTACCGAATATTTTAAATCAAGAAGTGCGCGAAAAAGCTGCGAATATATTGAATAGAACATTTTCTTCTAATTATGTCCGTAACCCCCGAGATATTTTAGTATTCCACGACATGAAAAAACGTTTAGGGGAATCAAAAATGTTTTCTCGAAGCTAAAAATATGCATAATTAAGGATCACGTTTGAACTTTATTATTAAATAGAAAATATTGTGTGGAGAAAATCAATAGATTTTGATTTTACAATAAACCAATTTCTTAAAAATCGCCAGAACGACCTCTAGAGGGCTAACCATGGTAAAAAGGGAGGTATAATAAAAATAACGAAAGTGGCTAATTAAATCTGTTGGAATTATTTCAATAGAGATTCCTCTGCTCAAATTGTCCAATGTTTTTTTTTATTTTTTCAACAATAAAACGGAAAAGATGGAGTTCAAAATTTCTATAAAAAATATTTCAACAGAGTAAGTTGTATGAGAAGTTGAAAGTTTATTGATTTTGTCTAGGAACTAATTTTTACCAGATATTTCTATTCAAGAAATGCGCGAAAAAGCTGCGGATCTATTCAATAGAATTGGTGGACAACTGATAGAACGCTTTGAAAATGTCAGGAAACCTTTTTCCAGCTCGAGAATTTCCAAAAAAATGTCCTTGAACACTACTTTCTCTTCAAGTCCCGTAACCCCCCGAGATATTTTAGAATTCCGTGACATGAAAAAACGTTTTGGGGAGTCAAAAATATTTTCTCGTTGCTCAGAATATTCATAATTAATCACGCACGAACTTTATTATTAAATAGAAAATATCGCATACAGAAAATCAATAGATTTTGATCTTACAATTGATTCTGTTGGAATTATTTCAATAACAAAAGGAAAACATGAAGTGAAGACAAATTTCTATGGAAAGTATTTCAATAGAATTGAATGCAATAGAAAAATTTATTGATGTTTCTATAACATATTTTCCACTAAATACACTAAGAGAAAAATTGCATAATATCACAAAAATCATTTCTTGACCGAAAAACATTGCATACAGATTTGATCAATTTATGGTAGGTTTCAGACAAGAAATGGGTGCTCTTCGGGCTAAGGAGGAAGTTACTGAATGAAAAGATGATGTCTTTTTCGAAATCACATAATATTCCTTAAAAAGACCAGAATAGTTTGACAAAAGGGAAAGAAGATATTGCTTCCCTGCAAACTCAGATTGATTGAGTGTAAGCGATGGTTATATTTTTTTAATATCTGGAGGTTTTCCTCTGCATAAACTCTCTATTCATTCAATATAAAAGTCTCTGATTCCTGATTCACTGAAGCAAAGCTTTTAATATTTTTAGTCATTTTCTCATCTTCTGACACGACAAAACCGATTTCTTGTGGCAAGAAATTCTCACTTTATCATGAAATGCCCATGTTCAAGTCATGAACACTTCACTTCAAGCTGACATTGTCTGACACATCCGGAATTCTGATCCCAAGAAATTTATCCTCAAGGGATGAGATATTTGGTGCAAGAAATTANCCCATGTTCAAGTCATGAACACTTCACCGCAAGCTGACATTGTCTGACACATCCGGAATTCTGATCCCAAGAAATTTATCCTCAAGGGATGAGATATTTGGTGCAAGAAATTAGTTTTTGTCATTCCGGCCGTGAAGCAGCGCTTCGGTGAATCTCTGCCTACGGCCGTCATGACAAAAAATACTGTTCGTCATACGGCCAAAAAAAACTTTTCTAGCTCATATGATTGCCGCTCTCGCCTTCGGCTCGAGCTGCAAACTCATATTCCCCATAAAAGATTTTGTGATATAACGATATTTCTCTCAGTGTATTTCTATAAAACACGCGTGAAAAGCCTGCGAATTATGCAATAGAATCGGCGGAAAACTGATAGTACTTTCAGAAAATGTTGAGAGATATTTCCTCCAGCCAGAGAAATTTAAAAAATATCCTTAAACATTTTCTCCTGAAGTCCCTCCCAGCGAGATATTTCAATAACACACAAAACCGACTCGATGTTACGTCCTACCATTTCATTACCAGGTCCACTCCCACCCGAAGACTCATTGCACACAATAGTGCAAAAATAAATAATGAATCGCGATGCATTGTGATCATTGACCGCTCAATAAACCTAAAACAATTCAGTAGCGAAGTGGTCAAACGGCTTAAGTCGATTTTGACTACTCATGAGTTTTCAATGAATATCTCGCAATCTAAGGCAGATAGCTAAATTTTTGTAATGACCTTTTCGGTAGAGCACATTAAGAGCGTCAAAAAAGGTATGTATGAAAATTTCGCTATCTCCCTTAGATTTTGAGATATTCTTCGAAAACTCAGCTAAGAGCTACGTTGACTTAAACCGTTTGACCACTTCGCTACCGAATTCACCACAAAAAAATTCAGCGTCGACGCGAAAGATCCTTTCGCTTGGTAAAATCTACAAGTGTCAGTGCAGTCGGTGCTCAACATTTCGAACAAAACAAGTGGTATTCATAACGATAATGCAGCCACACTATCCAAAATGAGCCATAAAACTTGGAAAAGAAAACTCTGATGAAAAAAAAAAACAAAACCAAATGTATTCACACTCAGTTCTCCAAACTTGTCGTTAGCCATTCGATCAAAAAATGAATTAAAGAATCATGTGGTAAGCGCGGCACGATAGGCATTTAAATTCTAAAAATTAGTTCTGATTGTTCACAGTTATTACAAACTAAAAAAATTCATGTGTAATTATTGTCTTTTAAAAATGCAATGAACATTTTTAATAACTTATCATGTGTACATTGTAGCATTAGCCCTTTATATAATAAAGTTCACGATACGATAAATCGAAAAGAGGATAAGCGTGAAAAATATCTGACATTCATTCGAAAATTTATTCATCCAATTGCATTGTCAGTGACTTTCTCGCAATTTCTGACGTTGCAGAAAAATTTAATGGTTCAAATTGTTTTCCCTTCTCACCTGTCCGAGAATTTCATTTTATCAAGTTTTATAGGACCGGTGAGAGTGTTGTAGGGGAAATGACGCAAGTCCCCTCTACCTGTTCGGCAGACTGGACGAGAGGACTTATGTGTGGGGGAATTCGAGGCGACTGTTGGACGTTTGTGGGGTCAGTTGGTCGTAAACACACGGGTATTCTTTCCACCGAACCAGCAGTTGCCCGTGACGCGGGGACGAGTGTTGTCGCTTGGGTACACGTTCTCGTGCAAGACATGTTACGATTCTAGTGAATTTACTTTTCAATTTCTGGGGGATTGGATTTTTTTACGTAAGTGCTGGAAACTTATTGCTGAGAAACTAATTACAGTTTAATGAGGATTTCATTAAATTTTCGTGGGATTGAAAAATTTTTCGTGTCATCGTCCGCTTGAGGAATTTGATAAGAAAATAATAAGATCGTTGTTGATTATTCACGGACAGTTGCACAGTTGGGAACGATGAGAAAGAGATATTTTTTCTCTTTGAATTATGTAAACATTAGAGGAATTATCGTTATCGTAATTAGTGCTCTCTCCATGGGAAATAATTTGTTTATTTCACTTATGTAAGTGTGCATTCGAACTTGTGGACGCGGGATTGGAATAACGCGCGGATTCATTCAAATTTTTTCATGTCGTGCACTTAAGGGTATCCAAGTACTTTGGCTATTTTTTCTTCAGTGAAATGCTCTTCTACTTTTGTAGTCGAACATCAGAGCTTTTATTTGAGCTCCATTTGACCCTCAGTTTCTGGACATTTACAGTGATTTGATTATTTAAATTTTGCAGGTCTGATTTTGACATTTAAAAATCATTTCAAAATCTGAAAAAAATTAAAAAGTTTATTTTTGGGGGAAGATTGATGAAATGATTTTGAAAGTGAATTTTTTTTAAATGACGAGCCTTCTCTATAAATAATTTTTAAACGATCAATTTTGCGCCATAAAAATCATTTGTTCGGAATCGTAAGAAATTTATTCATCTTCAGAACTTTACCAGAAATTGATTTCATTCCTAAAAATATATGGTTTTCGAAAGTTTAAATAATTTCAATTCTTTATTTGAATATTTATAATTTTTTCACATTTTTTCATGCTATTTAATTTATAAATTTGATGTTTGATAATGCTTAAATATAGTGTAGTCTGTACCAACCTATAAGAGATACTTAGATGTCCTTAAAAAATTCGATAGTAAAACAATGGCATTGTTGATTATTTACTGATAATTGTTCCGTTGAAAGCCGTGCGGAATTGATTTTTTCTCTTTGAGTTATGTAAACATTGGAGCTATTATCATCATTATAACAAGTATTATCTCCGTGCGAAAATAATGATTTTCTTTCACTTATGTAAAGTGTGCATTTGAATTTGCGTGCGCAGAATTGGAATCCCTCGCGAATTATTCAAATATGACTGGTCACAATTTAATTTCAAGTTCAAAGTTCGATTCGGGGTTGAGTCAGCTCGCAGAAGACAGTTTCATTTCTCCGGACTTTCACATGATATCTCGAGAGATGTGGGTTCATGCGAGAGTGAAGCAGACTCTTCTTCGGAGCCGGTAAATGGGGCCACCGGAGCGATCCCCCCGAAATCGGGTTGTTCGATGAAAGAACTGAGAGCCATTATTTTCGGTAAAAATGACCGTTGTGCATAGTTGAGGTATCATGAGCTGAATTTCCGGGTTGTAATAAGGAGAAAGTCATTTTTATACGGACTTGGAGTCCAGTCCATTAGTATATATTTCTCCGGAAATACGAGAGTTCCTGATTTACAAAAATTTTCCACATGAGAGTGAGATGGGATGGGGGTGAAAGTCATTCAGGATTGAATTGCTTCATAGGCAAGTCGAGAATGAGTTAAGTAGAGACCTCAGATGGCGGCTGTTTCCAAATGTTTCAGGACGAATGGGTTTAGAGGGAAATGTCAAAAAATCATTCTGGTAGATTTTTAAATTTCCTACAGAAAAGGTATTTTGGTATTTTTTTCCAAATCCACTAATTTTGAAGATCTTCCCGGAAAAATGTGAAAACATCGCCGAACGAACTAATTATAAAAACGTAAATTCTAATGTAAGAGAAATGCATTTTTGTGGGAACCGTTTTTGGCGTTTTAATAACGTTTCAGGATAAATTTTTACGCATGACAAGAAGATCCCACAAGGGTGAAAGTCCATAAGGGTGAAAGTTCAGAATTAAAATTGCTTTAGACATGTCGGGAATAAGTTGAGTGGAGAATTCAGATGGCGGCTGTTTGCAAATGTCTCCGAAACGAATGGGTTTAGAGAGAAATTTCAAAAGATCATTCTGGCAGATTTTAAAATTCTCTAGAGAAAAGGTACTCTGTATTATCCCCGGGCTATTGTACTTGGTCCAGAGAAAAGGTATTTTGGTATTTTTCTCCAAATCCACTAATTTTGAAGATCTTCGCGGAAAAATAGGAAAAAATTGCGGAACGAACTCATAAAAACGTCAATTCCAATGTAAGGGAAACTACGCATGAGAAAAAGATGCCATAGTTGTGAAAGTCAATAAGGATTGAATTGCTTTGAAGAATTCAGATGGCGGATGATTTTTGCAAAAGTCTCCGGAACGAATGAGTTTAGAGGAAAATGTCAAGAAATCACTCTGGTAGATTTTTAAATTTTCTACAAAAAGGTCTTGTGGTATTTTTCTCTAAATCCACTAATTTTAAAGATCGTCGCGGAATAGTATGGAATCATCGCGGAACGAACTGATAAGAAAATCGATTCCAATATAAGAGAGATACATTTTTGTGTATCTCTCTTACGTCTTCGTTCACGTAAAATTTTAACGAAGATGTCATAGTTGTGAAAGTCATTAAGGATAGAATTGCTTTATAGGCAAGTCGGGAATAAGTTGAGTGGAGAATTCAGATGGCAGCTGTTTCCAAATGTCTCCGGAATGAATGAGTTTAGAGGGAAATTTCAAAAAATCATTCTGGTAGATTTTGAAATTTTCTACAGAAAAGGTCTTTTGGGGTTTTTCTCTAAATCCGCTAATTTCGAGGATCTTTCGCTCGTTTCTGTACGAACTTTCCGTGCAGGTGTGCGAAAAAAATGTATTCATGAAAATTTTGATGTCTCCGAGATGTAGAATCACGTGTGAAGAAATCATATAGAAATATTCTATAAAACGTTTCTGTAGGGTAATTCTATATGCAATTTATGCCTAGAAATTCCCATAAGAATGGGGGCTCGGAAAATTTTTCAAAATCCATAACATTAATAATAATAGCAATAACAACAATAGTAAATAAAAAGAATTACGATTTATGAAGTAGTTACAAACTGTAAGACGGTTTTTTTCCAGGATTTTTGTCTTTTTATGCTTCTGCCATAAAGCCTACTTACCTCAACTTCCTGCTTCGTTAGCGCATTCTTGACTTATTTCACCTCAATATTTACCGACACTCTGCATTCAGGTATAGGTAACAGGATCAACAGCCGCATCAATGATGAAATTACTGGCCGGTGTGGAGGAGATCAGCGAAGATGGCACGAGTGAAATTAACGATACCCAAGCGACAAATAACAACAATAAACCGTCGGAGAAAAAGCCGTTTCACAATAAGGTAATTGAAGAATAATTCAAGCAAATTATTTTGCAGAATCTTAATCATGATAGGGGGCATTACAGCCCAATTGAAGTAAACACTTTCACGATTCCTCTACGAATTTTAAAGTAGCTCTACCCTTCGGCCGGGCTACGCTGTACTTTTGGATATTTTCAGTTTTTTAATTTTTCAACTAAATTGCATGGAAAAAATTTGACAAAAATTCATACCCAGTCAGTATTATCTAAATTAAATTTCGCAAAATATTGATATTGTTTGAAACATTTCCTTCTTATAAATAAATAATAAAACTTGTTTATAAAACCATGGATTATTTTTTATGAGGTGTCAAAAAAATTCTTGATGTTTTCACATCTAATGAAAAAAAATCAGATTTTAATGTTTGATTACAATGGAAATGTTGATTTTCACATAAGACACTGGGTTAAATCATGTTTTTTAAACATTTCTTCCTTGAAAAACCAAAACGATAATTAAATTGAGAAAAAATTAGAATTCCGAATCTAATCGAGTTTTCTGCAATTTTTTTGCAGTTTTCAATAATCTTTGAATTTACCGTAAGGGTAGAGCTACTTTAATCAGTGGTCAAAGTATTAAAGTCCCTTTAAAACGAGTCAGTCTAGAGCAAAATTTCGAAAGATTTTTTTTTATGAATCGTATTTTTTTAAAAACTTGCAAAACAATCTGAATGGGGTGTGGAGGTAAATGTCAAGACATCTTATGAAGTGATATTCTTGTTTATGGGTGACAAGTTCAACAGAAAACCTATCCCGCTTTCTATTGGAAATCTATCAGAATTTTATTAGAATCTCGGTTTTTTGCCGCGCGATTTTTGATCGAAAGAGCCCGCAGATATTAATTTTCCTTCACAGCTTTTTCGGTTGCGACGTGTTATTGTAAGAACTAATCTATAAATACTCCAGATTGTTTCTTTCATTTTGTAATGAAAAATACAATAAATGCTGCGAACAATTTTTCGATATGTATCCCCAAGAATTTGTATAAAAGTCTCTCGAGGGGATACCTCAGATCGGAAAAATAAAATTTATTCCTTTTTCTATTCCATACCAGTCGAGAAATCGTCAAAGAAATTAATAGAATGTTCTGAATGAATGCGCAAGGTTTTTCGATCAATTTTTTCCATAAATTCTACTGATAATTCCAGAGATTTTCGCAGAATAATTTTCCCACTGCTACGATCCTCCGCTTTTTATCAATTCGCCCAGAAACAATTTTCTTCTCCACCATTATCATCATTACTTGAAAACAACATTAAAATAAATTCCCCTTCAACGGTTCCACAATTTTCAACTCACTCTTTTCCATCAGACTAAACCCGCCGTGGACACGCATCTGTTACTTTCCGGGTTATGGAGTAATTTCAGTTATTTACGTACAATTTCTAATGCTCATTCTCCGAAAGTACGGCATAAAAATTGTGAAAAAGAATCCGTTGTTATATCGATGTGGCCACAATGGTGGTCTCCGAAAACAACGAAGCTCTCGAGTTAACGAGGATGAGAAGCAAATTTCACTGGTGAGATTATCGAGAAGGAGAGAATGTATCCGAGGCATGACCACGACACAGTGAGATGAGAAGCAGGTCCCGTTGTGACCTACTTCCTACTTTCCTATCAGCATCCCAATCGCAAGAGACCCGGGACATTAATCCTCCTGCGACGAATTCCTCTCGCTTTTTCTTCCGCCGTCCTGAAGCCACAGAAATGCGAAAATAGATATAAATTACACGATGGGAATTCGCACAAAATTACGGAAATAATGTCATCAGATCGTGGATCAATGAGATCACTCGAAAACCGCAAGAAAGTTATGCTACAACAGTCAACTTTCCCTGGGTTCTATGAAACATTTTATTAGCGCTTAAAACACTTGAGGATATCCAAGTGCTTCAATGATTTACCTGCAATTAAAATCCTACTTAACATCTGTAGTTGAACATTAGAGGTTTCTTTCAAACCTAATCTTACACTTAATTACCGAACATTTTGCAATTATTTTATCTTTATGGAGCCACTTCAGTCTCCAATTTCAGTTGTTAGAAAATATTTTGCATGTCATAAAAACGAACGAAAATGTCATGTGGATGTGTATTTTTCGTTCGAGTTTTTCAACATTAGAGGTTTTTTCAAACCATTTTACACTAGGTTACTGAGCATTCTGCAATTATTTTATTATTTCAGCTTTTTTATGTTTGAACTTGCCCTGTCAGAAAATTACACTTGAAATTTCAAGTGAAAAAGCTTGAAATTTTTAACAACGACAAAGTTACATGAATTTTCTGTAGAAATCTTCATTGCCGAATCGATTTAAAAATGAATCGTTCTTTCTCAAAAACTATTAGCTCGATCGGGCTGAAATATTTCACAGAGCTAGTCCTCGTTAGGACCTACACTGAGAGAAAAACAAACACGTCAAACAAATCTTGTTTGGGCCAACAAAATTGCTAGTTGAAAATTGCCAAAAAAGAATTTGTTTGGTTCGAATTTGAAAGTCTCAAACATGAATAATTGTTCTGCTTTCGACAGCAACAAAATATTTCGCTCAAGAGGCGGATAATTCACACCAGCCTTAATTCCTCTATATGAAAATATCTTATATAGAGAAAAATTTATCAACAAATATTTTATCCCCAAGTTATTATTATTGTTTCATTTAAGGGTTGATTTGTTGCCTGTGCTTATTAGACAACCGAAACCAAAAACTCCTGTCCTTTGTTTCGCATAAAACAAAGATTTTTTGGGAGCAAAGTACGTATGGGAGTATCGAATAACGAAGGAGTGCTTAAAATGACATTTTTTGCGTGTACAGAGAATGCAATTTTTTTTGAACTACTGAATCTATTTTTGCGACAAAAATTTTTCATTTCGGCGCACTCTCTGCATATTTGGCACAACAAAATCCTTTTTTGATCATTTTCAAAATACTATTTTCTTGGCACAAGTAAGACTTGTTTGAGAACTTTGTCGTTTTTCTCTCAGTGTATAGTAAATACGTGGGTAAGAGTCCTTTATTTCATCTCCCGTGGTTAGAAATTTTGCGCCTCGGCACAAGCGCAAAGGCAGATTTCCCTCTTGCCAAGCGGGAGAGAAATGTGTACTTTGCGCCCCTCCGGCTGAAAAATAATTTTAATTATTTAGTTACAAGAAGATAATGTTTGAAAAGTAACTAACATCTCGTCAAATGCAAGTGCTGATTATGTGAGAATTTTTCTCGATGAATTAATTTTTAATCGTAAAGTTTAATCTTTCGTTTCCATTTGATTCTCATTGTCAATCGAATTGACTGTTTTCATGACACAATGATTTTGAAACACGTGACCTAGAAAGTCCACGTGCTGAGAGTTTACATTTACTTTTTGAGGGTCAAAGGGTGTTATGCAATGAGTCATGATCGAGCACTCGATTTCCGCGATGTCCCGTGCATGCCAACGACTCTGTAACGTAATTTTCCTCATTTCCATGCACGTAAGAGTATTCAAATTCATTCTAACTTGATTTTATGCCAATTCCCGGTAATGCTCTTATTCCACGTCTTCATACTTTTGATGGATGGAGTCATTAATCTCCTTTGATGTGCAGCGATGAAAAAGAAAAGATCTGGCCTACTTGCGATAAGTGAAATGCGATAAAAGGTGTGACCTTGATCTGGGTTTTCAGATCGGTTTATTATGGGTGTTAAGGAATATGTTACTGTATCATTGTATTATTTGCAAGTCTCCTCAATTTTCCGAAGGTAATTATAATTGTATGTTGTTGAGGCAATCCTATTATAATATGAGTGATAGAAGGGAATAAATTCGAAATTTTAATGGGAATTTATCCGCGAATGCCTCAGAAACTTGCGGATTTGGAGAGAAATATTGGAACATCTTTTTACAGAATGGAAAATTTTCTGTAGAGAATGTTTTTTGAAGAATGTATCTAAATAATCTTTTAAAAGTCTCCAGCACGAAAAATTCTATTGAAACGCTATTGAAATTTCATAGAAAAATGACGTATCTCTCTTGCGCGTTTGTTTTTTTTTCATCATAAATGTTCAAGAAAATTCTGTTGAAATGGTATCAATGCACCGAGAATAAAAGTTTCTGGTTTTCAGTAACAAAATCTGAAAAAAAAGTACTGCAGAATTTTCCGACTTAAATCGGCGAAAAACTAATCGAATTTCACTAGAATTTCCTCGCAAATGTGTTTTCTTTTATATACAAAATAATCATGTGTGCAAAACAGTATTCATTACTTCGAGCGCAGATTCACGTTCGATTATTCTGCAAATGCTTTGGCAAAGAATTGATAAACGCACCTCCTTTGTACTAGCGCTTAAAATCCGACGGCGGATAGTTTTCTTCAAAAAGGACTGCAAACAAAATGGATTTGATGATTTCAGGCAGCTCACGTGAGACCAAAACAGCCGGCGGGGTCTCCAATAAAAGGAGAAGTGACGCCTGAAGATGAAGAACGAATGAGGCGTCTTCTGCCCATTGAGGAAGCTCCGGAGTATCTCACACATAATCCCTTCATCCTGCACGGATATCGAGGCTATTTAACGACAAAATTATGTATAGAAAGGTTTGTAATGCTCTTTACATGAAGTTTTTCAAGTTATTTATTTATCTCTAATGTCAGAATTTTTTAGTATTTTCTGGTGGACGAATGAAACCATCAACATATGGAGTCACATCTTCGGTTGGATGCTCTTTCTCGGGCTGACTCTGTACGACCTCTGTTTATTGAATATTCACGCACCTTTCGGTGATAAAATCATCGTGGCCCTTCTACTCGTTTGCTTTCAGGTGAAGAATTATATAATTATTATGTTGATATTCAAGAATATCATAATAATTCATTAAGAACTAATTCTCATCATCGAACTTGAGGATATCCAAGTATCTTTTACAGTTTGGCACAGACCACACTATCACAGCAAAAACGAATGTCTGAATTTCAGACCTTTTGTAGACATTTTTCAGACACTAAAAATTTCAGTCAGATTTCCTGCCGCGAAGCGCAACACAAAATTTGACATTTGACAAATCGTGAAGAATTATATAATTATTATCTTGACATTCAAGAATATTATAATCATTGATTAAGAACTAACGTAATTTTACAACTCGTGGTAAATGACGTTTTTGATAAGTGTGATTACAACCCTCACCTTTGGCTCGGGCGATAAATCTCACACGCGCAAACCAAAATCATTTACCAACTCGTTAGGTAAAATACTATTTTTTGTTTCGTTCACGAGGAAGATGCATAATAAAAATAAAATAAAATAAAAGATTTATGTTTGGTTCATCAAACGCATGTAACTCAAGTACCGAGTTTTCTCTCTTTCACCCCATGAATCATTAAAACTGTAATCAACTACCATTCTCTTTTTTAATTAGGCCTGCATGATTTTATCATCAGTCTACCACACATTCTCCTGCAGAAGTGAGATGGACTACTGGTGTTTTCTGTGTTACGACTTGTTCGGTATTGCATTCAGTCTCCTGGCGATTTACATGTCAGGGGTTTATTACGCTTTCTGGTGCCACAAGGTAATGATACAACAAAATGTCTATTTCAACCAGAGGAGATGCTTTCTTGAACGCCTCAGGCTTAAATATTTAAGCAAGGGATGTGAACTGATACACATAAGAACTTGAAGAATAATTTTGTAAACACATTCGGATTTTTGTATTTTTCTCATGAGAATAAACCACACGGTTTGATGGCTTTAAACAAAAAAAACTAGACAAGATGGAGAAGATTGCACAAATTATGCTGGAGAAGATATACGATAGGACTTCTAAACACTTCAAAATGAGATGTCAATTTTTTTCAACTTTTTCTGAGGCTTTAATGCAGTGTGATTTAAAAAATCGGAAAAAGTGCAGCGCGCCGCTCACAACGCGACCAACGGAGTGTTAAAAACGTTTTGCCATTAATTTCGGTAAAGCCGGGCGCCAGTGGGGAAGGTTGAGACAATGAAAGTCGACATAAGGAGGAAAAAGGGGGTAGGGTTGATATTTTCAAAAAATTAACATTCCCAATACTTGAATCACCTCTCAGTTTTGACATCAAATGTTTGCGAGTGCAGGATCTCCAGCAGTTTTACTTGATCACATTTACAAAAGACATTTTCAAAAAAATTGTGTTCCCGATACTTCAATCACGTCTCAGTTTGTGACGTGAACTTTTTGCAATTCCAGGATCTCCAGGAGTTTTACTTGATCACATTTACCAAAAATATTTTCAAACACGGAGAAAAATATTCAATAAACCTTACGTATCTTTTCCGTAATTCCGGAGCGAAACGTGGTTGTAGGACATGTTACGGGACTATCACAGGATTTTTCCAGAGCGTTCCGTAATTTTTACCTGAATCTCCTGTGAAAAATTACGATACCGTCACTTACATTTTCTGAATCAATTCCGTAATTGGTGAGCGAACTGTGAGTTCCGTAATTTTTACTGAACATTTCTCTCCGTGAAGAAATTGCTTTCCCAATACTTGAATCACCTCTCAGTTTGTGACGTGAAATTTTTGCGATTGCAGGATCTCCAGCAGTTTTACTTGATCACAGTCCTCTTGATATTCGTACTCGCAATGGTACTGCAGATGCCTAGTCTCGAGGTCAATGGCAATGTGAAACTTCTGGTGTTCGTAGGATGGGCAATTTATGGAGTCCTACCGACATTGCACTGGGGCATTACCATGGGGGGCATGGAGAACCCCATGGTTAAAATGCTGGTACCCAGGGTTTTGGGGATGTACGTCATCAGTGGTGTTGCATTTGCCATATATCTCACTAAAATTCCGGAAAGATGGTTCCCTGGTAAGTGAATCAAAATTATTCGAACCGAGGGGCTACTCACTTCCGAAATCACAGCGCCACTCTGGCACGAAATCATTCCGAAATCACGTGAAATCACCGAAATCACTGAAATCAAGTGAGTTCAACTCTCCGAAATTATTTTCGAAATCATCTCCGAAATCACGTGAAATCACCGAAATCACTGAAATCAAGTGAGTTCAACTCTCCGAAATTATTTTCGAAATCATCTCCGAAATCACGTGAAATCGTCTGAAATCAATGAAATCACCGAAATCAGTAGCGCACTGGCGTAGTGCGAACCGTACAAGTAATTCGTGATTTTGAAATTGACACATCTGCCAATAATAATAATAAAATGCCGAACTCACTGCCATAGTAAAATGGTAAAATGGACCACTTTTCATCGTGATTAGCTCAAGATTGGCGGAGTGGAATTAAACGAATTCGGTATTATTTGCCAGTTACTATTGCCAGTTTTGATACTCATAATTTGACTCAACCTGTTTTGCTCCACCTCAATTATTTATTAACTTTATTTTTCTGAAATAAAGTAAACACCTCGACGAACCCATTCTAACCGTTTATGACTGCTTGTAGAGTGCGAGGCTGGAAAAAAACTCATTTTCTTTAGGCGGGCGGCACCGCGCTGCAGCTAGCCAAATTGTCTCGAGCTTAGTCTGACCCATAACGGGCCATACCTACTTCTACCAGCCACATTACCAGTCGCACTCAAATCGGCCTCTGATTTTTTATGTGGACACGTCTTTAATTTAATGTTGGGGGTCCCTCGTGGAGTTACTCCTAACGGCCAGCGTTTTCTGTTGAATTCTAAAAAATTCTAGATTTTCCTAGAAAATTCGAGAAAATTCTTCGGTTTGCTCGAAAATTTGAGAAAATTTTCAAGTTTTCTAGAATACACGGAGAGAAATATTCGATAAACATTACGTATCTTTTCCGTAATTCCGGAGCGAAATGTGGATGTAGGAAGTTTTACGGAACTGTCTCGGTATTTTTCCGAAGCGTTCCGTAATTTTTATTTGAATCTCCTGTGAAAAATTACGATACAGTCACTTAAATTTTCTGAGTCGATTCCGTAATCGGTGAGCGAATTGTGAGTTCCGTAATTTTTACTGAACATTTCTCTCCGTGTATTCGGATATTTTTTGAAAAATTCAATTTGTGTTAATCCATACAATTAAAAAAATCCTAAACCCGCATATGAATATCAACCTAGACGTGCCCACGTTAAGTCTAACTGATGTATCAAGGACACAGCTACTTACTATTGGATTTAAAAAGTATAGACCCCTGGGCCTCAACTTCAGAGGTTGTTTCGGCAATAAATAATAACCCAACACATTCAAGTTCTTGTTTCTTATGGTTATTTGGTATGTCTTGAATATATTTCTAAGAAAAAAAATTGATATTAATGTTTCGGAATGTTGCAAACGCGAAATATCCTGCAGTGCCAGAGGTCTATACTTTTTAACTCGATAGTAGACTTTCTTATTCTCAATTTTTATATCTCAATATTAAGGATCTAATGCAAACTCAGGGAAATTTTGTGCCTTGTAAGGTAAAAAAATTGCCCACTGGTCGGAATTCTTGAGGCGCAACGACTGAAAACAAACTGTACGGTCTCTGGGGGGAGAAAACCGATGACCATTACACAAAAGTTTCTAGTAATGAAGAATTATTTTACGTTCTCTGGCTCGATTTTTAAAATCAAATTCGACATGCATTTTACCATTTTAGGGCAGATTATGTGACGGTAAAAAGACCTAGATCGGATTTCGCTGCACGATTACTAAACTTACCAAGTGCTTCTTTCGTTATTTTTTTCTCCGTGTATTGAACTTTTTCTTAACAAAAAAAAAGTTTAAAAATTGCACTGGGAGATTTCAAGTTTCGAAGGGATTCCGTTGTAGTTTTTCTACTAAATAAAAAAAAGAGAAAAAAACGAGAAGTATCAAATGGAATTCTGTAGGAAAGACGCGGGGATTTTTTATCGAATTTGCTCATGCATGAATTCACGAAACTCATCAATTCGATAGGTATTAAGCAACTATTTCTATTTTATGGACAGGCTCGGTAGATTACATCGGCTCGTCTCATCAATGGTGGCATGTCCTTGTCGTGCTGGCACTCTATTACTGGCACAATACTGGCATGATTTATGTGGAGTACAGAATGAATCATGGGTGCCCCAGCAATATGGTATTATGACATGAGGGCATGGACGGCGACTCAGGTAATTACTTCAGTAATTGGCTGACATTTAATTACATTTTTAATTTAATTCATTTTCAAATATTTGTAAAATTCAGTAAATTTGCACGAAACAAAATTTTATTGAATTCCTATTGACCATTATTATTATTAACAAAATATGTCAATAATAATAATAATTAAAAAACTGCACAGTTTTTACACGTTTCTCTGAATCGAAGTATTTAATATGAAAAACATTAACAATTTTGCTAATGTATTTTCTTTTAAAAAATCCGCAGCGTAAATTTGAGAAAATTATGGAATCGAAGAAACTGGAAAAATTTAAGCCGAAGAATTGCGATAGAAACGGTTTATACAGAATAAGTTGTGTAAAAAAATCAAAATCAGGAATTTTTTTCTGTCAAATATTTCCTGTTGAACATGTTTTAACATAAAAAAACAACTGCGAAAATCACATAGGATTTTCAGGTAGAATTCCATCAGAATTTGTCAGGGAATGCATCGGGTTTTGCTATTAAATATTCTGGTACATGTCATAGTTTTCGTTCAATCAATCAAATGGTCATCTGTTGGTTTCAGACTCTTTTGCCCATCACACGTGTTCTCAGGGCTTGACTCCAGAGCTGCCCGATTGGTTCCAGGAGACATCGTTCTACGCCGATAAATCTGAAAATGTATGCTTCCTGGATCCACTCAGCGTATACATGAACTACTGATTTAGACAGACAAAATTTCAGTGGACGAAAGAAACTCAGTAGTAAAGTGTAACATCCTCTACTTTGTAATTCATCCTTCAGCCAGCAGACATTGTCATCCATTCAAGGATTTCATTTATTTAATATTAACCAATAGCAGCAGCAACGGCACGACGTCACCTCAGATAACCAGACAGAAATGTCGAATTTCAAAGTAAATATTTTGTAGATATTCCATTCTCATATTATTTCTCATGCATTTGTTGCTACCTCCATTGTTCTTGAATTGTTGTTTCACTATTTGCGTAGAAATCGAGTATTTTCGAGATTCTGAACACTCGTAGGGATGCCAAGAGCGTCAGTTATTACGTGATATTGTTATTATGTATTCGATAATCTATTTATTTTTAATTAATTGTATTTCTATAAATCATTTGCATCAACAAGAATCACTTCATTGAATAAACAATATTTTATAGTAAATTTGATTGTCAGCTTCTTTTCAAACTATACATCAACTAATTGAAATTCATCGTGTGTCCTTGAAAAATAACACGCTTCACGGTTCACTAGAAAAATGAGTTTTTTTCCATTAATAGTATCATACACATGATGAACATTGGTGAAAATTTCAAAAGTTTGGAACTTGAGTAATTTTCAGGGGAGTAACATTGAATTCGATTTAGAGGGTTTCATTGAACGTAAAATATCAAGAAAATTTCTTAACTTTCAATAAATAATCATTATCTGTTTTTAACCAACTTCTATTATGTATTTATGAAAAAAAAATGTTCAAAAAAATATTAATCTGATGCAAAATATCAATTAAATCATACTGATTAGGCAAATGTTTACAAATTTTTCGGACACATTTGGAAAATTTGAAATCTGCCGTCGAGGCAAACCTACTCCAACCCTCGTACACCAAATTAATCGACCATCATTTCATCATTTACGTAAGACTTCGCGGATAAAAGTTCATGAAAATGCCCTCATGTGGCCTCAATATAATATCATTATATAACTTAATATTATCATGATTTTCTCGACTTTTGACCCTCCACTTGCGGAGTATTTCGGCCAGTACAATTTTAGCCTCCAGTAAGGCAAATTTTTGACCAATACAATTCCGCAGGCCACCACTGAAAGGTATCCAACTATACGGATGTCGGCCTCTCGAATTTTCTGGTAAAAAGCGATCAGGATCAAATTGCTCTGGATTCAGCCAGTGATTTGGATCCCGATGAATATTGTAAATTTGTAACGCCAGTGTACATCCTGGCGGTGCAGTGTAGGGACCTGTTTGAATGAGAGTTAATTCCAATAGTGCATTACATGCCCGAGCCTTGGAAAATAGATCACCGTCCCCCACGTGCAAGATTGCCTTCCGAGCCGAAGGCGAGGATGACAGGCACGTGGGGGAGGGAGATATGTTTTCCATGGCGAGGTGTGTATATTAATTTTCGTGTCGAGGGACCTGCAAAACGCCAATTCAAATGTGTATGGGTCGCTGCGCGCCCAAAAACGATGATTTATATGTAAATTAGTTAAAAGTGTCCGAAACTCCTAGGGGAATTAACATGGGATGAAAGTACTTTCATTCAACAAATTCACATCAACAAATTGAGTCACTATTGGAATGTGCACGTAGGAAAGTGCACGAGGGTTTGCTCCTCAAGATGAGATGGGCATTTTAGATTGTTGCACACAATGATTGGGACAGAGGAATTATGCACATTACAATTTCCACATGTCAGTGTCATTTTTCAGTCTTGTGCACACATTTTAACTTCTCTCTAAAGATGTTTACGAGCCTATTGTCCACAATCAAATATTACTCCATATTAACAAGTGGACTGCAAAGTACACGGAGAGAAATATTCAGTAAAAATTGCGTAATAATTCACGTAATCCGCAATGGGGAATCGTTTTCCGGCAATTTTTATAGGAATGGAAGAGAAGAAGTCTGAAACGTTCAGTGAATTTTAAAGTTCATTACCGAACAAAGTACGGAATTGTCACGTAATTTTTCCCGAAGAAGTAAAATCTTACAGAAATTTGCGGACTTATTATGCCTCCAAAATAAAAAATTCTTGAACGTTCAACAATTTTTATGAAGCTGGTGAGTTATTTCTAAGTTCCGTTTCGTAAAATTTCTCAATCGTTGGAGAAAAATTACGGAACGACTTATTGTCCCCACAGCGGTGAGTCATCACACGGGTGGTTAAAATTCGCACGCGGATTACATTTCGGAACCTAATTTTTAATTTTTTTTCTGGCCATTTTTATTGAATTTTTCTCTCCGTGTAACGCACATTATAAGATATGAAGGTGTCGGAAGTGCACATTTATGGAATAGGGAACTTGTATGAAGCTCAATTATTTCTAATTCCCCTATTCACACATTCCGAGCAACTAACGGACGTGCAACTAGCGAGAGTCTACAGTATATCAAAGTTCCCACTGTCGAAAAAATGAACAATTTTTCATTGTGTGTACATCTACTCTGTATAGAAAAGTATGAAAATTCAGTTATTGGTGCACAAACAATATGTATAATTTCATAAATGTGCACTTCTGACACCTTCATGCCTTGTAATGTGTCATATTCTTCAGTGCATTTGTTAATATAATAGTAACATTTAATTGTTGACAACAAGCTGGAAAACATCTTTAATGAGCAGGGATAGGCAATAATATTAGATTTTGACAATATTAAAAAGGGATAAAAATATTATAGAATTTATTAGCTAAATTTTTTCGATTGATGGTGAATAAATATTTGATAATACTGAAATGTAATATTTTAGTTAACAAGCAAATTCTAACTTTAGATACTTGATTTTCGATTATCCAAATAATCGTCAATCTTCCTATCTAAATTATTGGTTGATAGAATATTTCGAAATTCAAATCTACAAATTGATGGTTACTTTAATATTTAAAATTTTTAAGATTTATGTTAAAAATTGACAAATTCACAATTTAACGGTAATTATGATTGACTGATATGCCTATCACTGTTAATGAGAAGTTAAACTGTGTGCACAAGACTCAGAAACAAAACTCACGGAAATTTTCATGTGCATAGCAGTTCTGTTCCAATCGCCATGTGTGAAAAAAATCTGCACTGCCTATCTTATCTTGTCGAGAAAATTCTCGTGCATTTTCCCATGTGAACATTCCGATTGTGACCCTATTTGTTGATGTACGAGTACAATTCTGCTGACTCACGATGACGCTTTAAAACGTAATCATGAGTTGTTCCCCATGGTATTCTATCTGAAAAATTTTTTTTACTTTATTGAAATAGTCAAATGTACCAATTTGCAAATCCTCAGATAAGCTTCTGCTGACTGTTGTGGCGCTTGGAAACAATCTCAAGACTTCTTTTATAACTCTCTCCAGATACTTCAACTGTTGAACTTGTTTCGTAGTTACTGGTTCATTCGAGTCACCAAAAACTTCGTCCAGCTCTTGATGAATACTGTTCTGCACTTTCTCATCATTCCCAATGCAGAATAAAGCCCAACTCAGTAGTGCACCTGTTGTATCATGACCCTACAATTTTCACCACAACTTATCCATTAACTGCGGTAAATTGCAATTATGAATATTGTTTTAAATGATTTACCGCAAACATAAAAGTGTTCACTTGCTCTCGTATTTCCTCGATTGTCAACGGTTTTACGGTGTTTTCACTGGCCTCGAGTAGTAAATCCAAGAATGCCCGTCTCGTTTTTTTCCCTGTGAAATAAATGAGAGATATAATGTCATATGCAGAGTCACTGTAATTAACAATAATGCTACGGTTATTTTTGAAGACGCATAACGAAATTACGTAAGCGTCCCAACCCCCCTCTTCACCTGTTCAAGTCTCTGAACTTCAATAGAAGGAAAAAGGCTCCGAGCTAGGGTGACATACTATGTATTTTTTTAATGTAATATTCTGCTTTTTCTTATAAAATAAAGGTAAAAAACCCGAAATAAACTCTCGGAATTATATTATTAGTCTAAAATACAACTTTTCACGAGAAATGAATGTGAAATTTATGTAAAATGTTTTTATATATGTATTATGTTTATTGGTATTTTTGTTTCTTGTTTCTTGAAATGTTTATACAATGTATATTGATGTCTCTAGAGGGACTGGGAGGGGCACAAAATGTAAAAACCCGAGAGGGTATACATATACTGCAATATAATAATAATACGTAAGCGTCCGCCTCATTTGTTGTGATTAGATTCATTTATCGTCTTAATTCACATAATTATTTGACACTTTTCCCTCTCTTCTTCCTATGAAAAAATATGAAAATGTCGGAAATTTATCAATTATTCTTAGCCATTGTTTCTCTAATCGGTGATCAAATACTTATATCCCTAGGAATAATCGATGTTTCCTGGACATTTGCGAAGATTGTTACACTAATCACTATTTGACCTGCGTCCTATGACATAAAGGACTATTACTTATTTCTTGATCTGCATCCTCAGTAGCATCAACGATTTTCGATCTTCGCTGCCGCTCAGCTTGTTTCTGCTCAATCACCTGTGAATGAAAATGCTTCAATGTATTCCTTTTAGATATCGCTGTTGTGAATGAACGATGAAATTCCGGGGAAATATTCACATGAGTACATTTCCTGTGTGTTGTTTCGATGGCAGCCTTGTATTGTTTGCCCATCTCTGTGTGGTAGTAAATCCAGTCCAGTTTAAGCCAGGGGCGCATCATACGATCCACTGCGTCCGTTGATATACTGGGAAATGAGTGGAAAAATGCATTTTTTATAAATGAATATAGTTATTGTTGCTAATAAATTAGCAATTTGCTTCCGACTGGTTTCCGAATGGTCCTCTTGGTTTAATTCACATTTCACTATTCTCTTCTATTTTTTATGTCATAGTACTATCATCAATTGAAATGTCATCAAAATTTCGCGTATTATTACATTCTGTCAAATAATTGTACATGCAGACCCTCTTAAGGCTCCGATTCTTTTTCAGTCGTAGTATACACGTATGAAAAAATCATATAGAAATTTTCTATACGGATTGTGTATAGAATTGCTATAGGATTTCCGTATATGATATTCAGATATTTCTATACGAATTATTTCTATACATAAATTTTTACGTAAATTTTTGTTCTAATACGAAATATGTCTAAACGCTCCAGAGAAAAACGTACAGGAATGTCCCAATTCTATAGGAAATGTTTCAATCGGTCACAAGGGTGGCAACGCGGTGTGAAATATTTTCATGACACGATCAGTCGCGTAGCGGCACGGCACCGTATTTTTTATTTCCAGTTAGCATAGGAGTGAATTGTCTCGAATCAGGGGCTTTGACCGTGGTTAGAAATGGCAGAACATGCTTTTAGATAAAATCAGTGAGGCATACAAATTTTTTTCATATTCTTTAATGAGTTTTTTGAAAGTTATACAAAAAAAAAAGAATTTCACCGGTGCGTTGCCGTGGATGCGAGTAACGCAGGGTTAAAAATGATGTTCAATATTTTATATGAGACCGAAACCGCGCTACAGCGCGTTGTAATTGTAACAATCATAATTGAAAATCTCAAAATTAAATTAATCCTGAATTAAACTTGCCGCCTCAGGCGACTGGAACCGATCAGGAATAAGCGTGACAGGCTTGCGAGATATCAATAGTTATCGACTTTAAGTGTATGTTCTTTTTAGAATAGGATTTCATAGTTTCCAACATACCGCTCAACAGCCTGACTGTATTCATTCTCAACTTCGCTCTGAGCATCGACGTTCACTCCCATTGCAGTTTCTAAAATTAACTTTACTTATCAGAAATTGATTGAGCGGGACAGTATTTGAAAAAAACTTCGAGTTACCGCAGATAATGTCCAGTGCACATTTCCCAGTCATAGTGAATACGTCGAATGGTTTAGAACCATGCAATTGTACCTGCTCTCTCAACCGTTTATTTAGTATACCAGCTTTTTCTACCATTACCTCTGCGAAATCCTCGAGAATTCCAAAATGAAAAGTTGGAGTTATCAATTTTCGATCGTGGAACCATTTTTCTCCTGAAATAGTTAAGATTTTGGAGGATACTCATTTAAAGATTCAAGCGATTAACTTTTCAGGTGGAATATGGCAAATAACGTTACAAACTAATCTCTCATATCTCGTTTGATATTGAATCTTGATAAATCAGCAGACATCCAGTAAACAACATAACAACTTGGACATTAATTTTTATCTACCTGATGAAGTCAATAACCCCTTTCCTAACCATGGCTCCATGTACTCATAGATCATCGATTTATCAATATGTTTTGTACTCCGAAGCATGATCTGAAAATATTGAACAATAAAGAGTCATTATCGATATCATATGTGAAAATTAAAGTCTTTCATTTTTTATTTTTTATTTCGTTTGACACCCTTGAAAAAGTTGATATACACGGAGAGAAATTCTGTAGAAAAATTCTAGTGCTAACACGGGAGAAATTCACGGGTGAATTTTTTCCGTTCTTATATGAAATTTCCACAGAAATCCTTAGAAATTTCATCTTAACCCTCGATCACTCGCACTCGGCCGCCAGCCGTCATCGGTTATGACTTTTTATGTCAAGTCGTGCAGAAGTCAAGTTCTGCGATAAACTCGACTTATTGCACGACGCGACATACAATCTTTTTTTTTTCAAATATAGACATTTCAAATTTTTGAATTTTTCATGAATTTCCGTGAAAGTGACCTTTTAATGGCTTCTTCAAATCTAATGTTTTAAATTCATTGAAGTATGTGTAAATAAAATTTTTCCATTGACATTTTATCGAACGGCTGAGGGAAGAGATGGAATTGTAAAAAAGACAATCGATTGTATAGAACAAAATGGATAATAAGAATAATGATGCTGATAACATTCAACTAAGTTGAAAATCTGCTAAAATTAGGTAAAAGGAAATATTATTCAATTTCATAACATGAAATAAACAATGAATTATACATGATAGAACGAAATGACGTACAAAATAACCATTGGGAAGCATATTGTTGATTTATTAGCAAAGATAACTATACTATAAAGTTAGTATAAACAATGCAAGAGCAATTTCCCACTAGTTTCCATTATTTTCCAGCATCTCCTTTCATTGAATTATTGCCAGTGACAAAACCTCATGTGATAATATACCAGGTGGGGGCGGGAGGGCGGGTTAATCGTCAAAGTATCACTGTGACTCACCAAGGGGATGAAAATGATGAAAAATCACATCACCTGATTAATGAACACCCCTATCACCAAATGGAAATAATATAATTACCTCAGCATACTCAGGTGTGTTGAGATGAATCACTGGATCAGTCCCAATCCATATTCTGAAAACTCCATTTTTGTATCGAGTTGCTAATTTGTGAAACCATCGGAGCCGATCTAATTTCCATATCACAGAAAAACAACAGAATCCGTTATCATGTTGCTGTAGCTCGAAAAATCATTGATTTCAATTTATCCATTAATTGATCTGTGTACCTTCTTGATTGACCTTGATAATCTCCCATGACATACCGATAACTGGGAAACGCGCGCTCGGACCCGGTATTTCGTTGATTTTCTGCCGCCATGAATAATATTTATGGATTTTTTGTAATAGTTTGAATGTGACTATCACTGAGAGACAGGCAACGGCAATCAAAAATATTTCCATTGTGTCACTATACGTTTGACACTCGCAGAAGTATAATCTCATACTGGTGTTGACTTGGCGTATAGTGTCTATATATATCTCCCACTCGAAATCTCCCCTTCCTACGTTGAAGCAGGATGGAGTTAAAAATTAATGTGATGAATGAGAGTGCATATTTGCAAGAATGCACGGAGAACAATATACGAGAATTTTTCGCCCTAATTACAGACAAAAATTAGCGTGCTCTACAGTAAAGTGAACTCAGGCTTCCAGCACCAGATAAAATTTAGTACCATTGCGGTAAAAATTGAGGGTATCCAAGGATCTTCGACAGTTTGGTAAAGACCACACTATAGATTTAACCATTTTCAATCATCAAATTTGTCAATTAAATTGCGTGAGAAAAATTTGAAAAGGATCATAAAGATTTCAGCGTCATTCAAATTACATTCATTATTTATAAATAATTAATTGATAATAACTAATTTTGTTCAAACTTTCGGAAACCTCTTTTCCTCTTATTTATTTATTTTTTACGCGATTTGCCACGAGGGGTTTTTAGTATTTTATTATTTCGAGTATTTCCTCCATCGGAATTTCGATTACTGAAGGGCAGCATTTGATGTCAATATGGTACAACCTATACTTTCGCATTTAAATTATTTTGTTTATTCTCCCTTAGCAACGTGCCGTGGTTTTACCAAATTTTACCGATATAAAACCGTGTAGTTATACCACGTGACATTAAATGCGGCCCTTCTATTGGCCGAGATTCCCCGAGATGAGCCCCATTACACCGGAGAGAAATTAGCTAAAGAACATGGATATTCTTAATTCCTAATCCGGCAAAAATTCTGGTACACTGACATATCGTGAAGGTAGCGCGGGGAGATTATTTGAATACAAAAATTCTAATAAAATTTTTATCTCCGACATTTTGTTTATGAGTTATCAACAAAAAAAGGACAACCCATCAAACGCTAGTCCCTGATAGAGAGATCATACCCCTTTCCCCATTTAAGGCGGAGGGATGATGGCATTGAATCGTAATTGATTCCAATCAATTCACTTCTTGGTATTGAATGAGAGAGGAGATATGAATCTTTAACGCTGACTCTGATTTTTAGAGTCACATTGCGTTTAAGAACCAAATGACTCTGACGCCGCGTTGAAATTCATTGCGGATTTTCTCACTCAGCTGTGATGATAGAAGAACATTTTATTTTCAGATCAGCCTGCATTAAATGCCCAATCGATTGCCACCCCTTTCATCCCTCCACCCGACGTGAGAAAAGAGATATGAATTTTCAAAAAGCGGGTGATTTGCGGTAGATTTTTGCTTTGTTGACAGATAACTCCTTAGCAAAGCGCTGGAGACAATTTCATTAGAGTTTTCGTCTCCATATATATCTTGTAAAATATTTCTGAAATTTACAAAAATTCCTCCTTTTCTGAGCCACTTTGCGAACATGAAGTAACAATGTTAAATTGCAACGATTCAAACTAGAGATTTCCTCACATCATCAATGTATGTTACAACCATGCCCTTTTCATTACTTGAAAAAAGTGGTGTGACCCCCCTTTAAGGTCACGAAGTGATCATGACTTATGACTTTTTCAAGGGTCTAATGACTTTTTCAAATAATGGAAATATACATCGATTTTTGTTCACTTTTCCCATCGAAAAATCATAATTTTTCGTCTGCGATTATTCTCGAGTCCACCAACAATCCCCCAGCATCAGCTGCCATTCTATCACGCGGGGGTATGTTTAGAGAGAAAAGGGAACGCTAGCGATACAAATTCAAAACATTAAACACATAAATTGATTAGTTATCGATATTCATTAAGTAAAAATGAAAATTTCATTGAATTCGGGCGCAACGAGCGAGGTATCTTATTTGAAACCCGCTGATCCCTATTTTTCTCCTCTCTATGGGCGCGCGTAGTGGGGGCATAGGGGTTCCCGGAATTCCACTCTCCGACTGTCCCTAAGGTATCTTACACGAAGCCTCTACTGTACTTGGATGGGTGTCCGCTTAGCGCTACCTTGCCGAGTGGAAATGCTGTCGTGAGGAACGAATGTAGAGACCTACTGTGCCCGTTTAGTCAGTGTGACGGATGGGTACACAGGACCCTGTGTTATCGGTTTCAAAAAGTTCTAAAGCGACATTGGAAAAACTCCGTTGATATTCCTCAAAAGTATCTCCCACTTATCGGCAACAGAGCATTACATTGTTGACCGTGTTAATGACCGTTCAAACTGTGACTTTGAACCGATTGATTCCATAAATATCTCAAGAATGCTAAGTCATTCAGCGCACCTGGAAACTAGGTGTTGGAAATAAAATTTTCTCACTCCCGCAAAAACACGGAAACCGACCAATTCCCTCCCCCCTCCCTCTGCAACTACTATTACGTGAAAAGCCATAGCCATTGCCATGTCGATTGTTGTTGAGTTACTGCATCGAAAGAATGATAACGTTCGAAGTGATAAGCGCGCTTTCCTTGACGAAAGAATGCTATTACCGTTTCACTGAAACATTGAAAGACCGATCGTAACTCAATGCTGTGTTACGAATGTTAATAACTATCTGGAAAATTTATTGCATAACTAATTGAATGATGACGAGGAAGATTGGAATTGCATCGCGACTGAAAGATCAACTAAGAAGTTCAAACATACACAATGTGAGTCATGAATAGAGCTTTACGGACGAAAAAATTTAATAGAAAACAAAAAAAACCCATCGAATTCGTTAGAAAATTCTATTGAATTTCTGTTGAACTGTTCTATTAGTTTTTGGCCGATTCTATTGAAATGTTCAATAGAAAATATTCAGTAGAAAAAGTCAATAGAATTCAATTTTTCTATATAACTTATTCTATTGAGATATTTTCTATAGAATTCCCTCGGCTCAAATTTTCCAAGTTTTTTCGTTTGATTTTCTTGATGAGAAGAAAAGGAAAATAGAATGAAAAAAACTTGAGTCGAGAGAAAATTTGAGTCGAGCAAATTCTATAGAAAATATATGAAAAAAATAAGTTATATAGAAAAGTCGAATCCTGTTAACTTTTTCTATTGAATGTTTTCTATTGAACATGTCAATCGAACCAGCCAAAAATTAATAGAAAGTTTAATAGAAATACAATGGAATTTTCTAACGAATTCGATAGGTTTTTCTATTAAATTTTTTCGTGCGTGTTCTTCTCTTTTTTAACACTTTGTGGTATATTTTTTTTTATTTACTAAGATATTTACTTCAAGGTGAAAAATTCCAGAAAAAATTCTGATGAAGTCCTAATATATGATAATGCTTCGGAAGAGGAGAAGGAAATGAGACGAATTCTCACAATCAAAGAGGCCCCGGAATTCCTGACGCATAATCCGTATATTTTGAATGGATACAGGGGATGTAAAACGAAGAAATTGTGTGTAGAGAGGTCTGTCTATTGAATTAACTAAGTGAATTGAATTTTTTAATGGAGAAGAGATAAAACGTAACAAGTTTATTCTTTACATTTGAAGGCAGAGTGAGTTTTTTCGGTAACGAATGATTTTAGGACGAAATATTGATAGAAATTTTGTCCTAAAATTTGTAGAAAATAGAGAGGGTTTTCAACTACAGAAACAATTTTTTGATGGTTTCTTCCAAAGTCACTCCTTCTCGAAATCAATGGGTAACTGCATATTACAGTTCCCAAAAAGTTTTGATTCTTCAAAATTGAATTAATAGCGGTTTTCTTGACGTCTATTTTTGGTGTGTTTCTTTGAAACGACTTTTATTGTTTTTAATTTCAACGTATTTCTTGGGTTATCGACAAGTCGGTGAAACTATTGGACCCTAACGGGCTAAGGGGAGGGTGAGGGGTGCAACTGTTTTACCGTTATTTCTGTCCCCAAGAAACGCGTTGAAATTAAAAATAAATAAAGTCGTTTCAAAGGAACGTACCTGGAGAAATTAAAAAAAAAACACGCCAAGAAAACTGCTATAAATGTACAAATAATGGGAGAAATTAGTATATTTCGTCATTAGGCCGAAAAAAACTTTTCTGACAAATATGATTGCAGCCCTCGCCTTCGGCTCGTGCTGCAAACCTCATATTCGCCAGAAAAGTTTTTTTTGGCCGTATGACGAACAATATTTTTCATCACGCTGTGACGAAAAGTGAACTTTTCGGCACGCTCCGCGTGCCTAAAAGTCCAATTTCCGCCACATTGTGATGAAAAATATTGTTCGTAACTCGTGAAAAAATGTTTTTTAGCTCGTGGGATTATATCACGAGCCGAAGGCGAGTGGGAGGCGAAACCTCCCACTCGCCAAAAAACACTTTTTTGCACTCGTTACGAAATATACTATTTTGTCATGACGACCATAAGCAGAGATTCACGGACGCGGAGCGGCATTATTCTGTAAAATAATGGCCTGAGTTTTATTATTTTCTATCGTTTTCGTTATCGTATGGACCGGGAAATTACAATTTCATTACATATTCAAGGAAGTTATCTGATTTTTCAGAAACGAAGTGGAGATAAATTTCATGTAAATTTAGGGTTGTTAAAAATTTCAAGTTTTTTTATCTGAAATTTCAAGAGTAATGTTCTAAGCGTGTAGGCTAGAAATCTACTAATATGTACTCAATGCGAATTAATTCATTGTTCCCAGTGCATTTTGGTGGACAAACGAAACGATAAATATTTGGAGTCACGTCTTAGGCTTCCTATTTTTCTTCGGACTGACGTGTCATGACCTGTACTTTGTAGACGCGTCGTACACAGACAAAGCTATTGCACTATTCTCAAGCATAAATTTCCAGGTAAATTCCATTTCCGATGAAGATTGTCCCGTGTAGAACTCTCTCCGCTCAATCCCTACTGACTATATAGTCAAGCCGGGGCTCAGCGGTCGGTTCAAACGCGTGAGCGGTAGTTGAGCCGCATCCTCGCTTGAATTTCTCCACAGGTTATAACTTTAACTGATATTAATATTTTTTCCTACAGATTGCTCTGATTAGTTCAACAATTTATCACACCTTCTCCTGCAGGAATGACAAAATCTATAACTGTTTGCTAACTGTTGATATGTTGGGCATTTCCTTGAGCTTATTAGCTATTTATCTGACGGGAATACATTTCTCTTTCACGTGTTACGAGGTAACAATTCAGTAGTGAAGTGGTAAACGGAGATAAAGTCGACTTATCTCCCAGTTGAGTTTTTGAGGAATATTTCCGAATCTAAGGGAGATAGCGAAATTTTCGTAATTACATTTATTGTAGCACTCAATCGGCCTCACAAAAAAGGTTATAACAAAAATTTTGCTATCTTCCGTAGATTTCGAGATATTGATTGAAAACTGGTCAATAGTCAAAATTGACTTATCTCCTTTTACCACTTCGCTACTGAATTTGATCAGTAGTGAATTCAGTAACAATAATATATTTCAAGAAATTAGTTGTGCACTGTGAGAAAAAAAATGAAATTCCAGGAATAGTTGACTATTAATTTTCAGGACAGTGACACTGAATCTGATTTAGGGGAAAAACTCATGAAATTTCAGGTTTCACTGAAAATTCAGTAAAATTCCAGAATTTTAAGCAGCATAAAGATGAGCATTCCTTAATTTATTTGAATTTCCAATCTAATCTGAATAGTCAGTGTCAAATTGCATTGAATTTTCGTTGAAATCTGAAATTTCATTATTTTTCCCCCTAAATCGCTTTCAGTGTCACTGTCCTGAAAATTCAAGAATATATTTACCGGAATTTTCTGGTGTTCTACTCATTTTCAGAAAAAAATGGAACTGAAATTTACAGTTCTCTTTGATTTTTCCACAAAATGCTGAAATTACAATGACGAAATTCCTTGAAATTTCAGTGGTCATTCAATTCTATAAAAATTTCTAAAAAGTATACCGGAAAATTTAGACAAAATTTTTTAACAGTAATATGAGGCATTTTTCATCACTCGTGTGTAAAGTGAAATTTTACGCCCGTTCCGCATGCGCTAAATCCCGCTTTCCACACATTGTGATGAAAAATAGAGTTCGACACTCGTGGGAAGAGTGTTCTTCAAGCCTTCCGAGGATAGCACTGGCCTTCAGCGAGAAAGGACATGTTCTATTTTCTCTCAACATAATAGTCTCCTCTTGATGAAAGATGTAAATCAATTCTTCGATTCCATTTCAGAATCATCGATTTTTCTACCTAATCACAGTTCTTCTAATTTTCATAATTGCAATTGTGCTACAAATTCCACAATACAACTTCAGTTCTAACGTAAAAACATCAGTGCTTTTTGGCTGGGCAGCTTACGGCATTCTACCGACGATTCATGGAGTCATAATCATGGGCGGGTTACAGCATCCCATGGTACAGCAGCTATTCCCCAGGATAGTGGGCATGTACGCTATAACTTCATTCGCATTTTTCCTCTTCGAGACTAAGATACCTGAACGTTTCTTTCCAGGTAATTCCACATTTTGTGGTGTTGAAAAATTTATTAATCGAGTTATTTCTACTATTTTCCGAATAGGCTCTGTTGACTACATCGGGTCTTCCCATCAGTGGTGGCATTTGCTGATCCTGTTTGCTTTCTTCTACTGGCGCAATACCGGTCTACTTTACATTCAGTACATCAATAGCCATGGGTGCATAGTACTTTCATAGTATTCTGGCCAGTGAAATCGCTCTCAATTTGGAACAATCGCTGGTTGTTAATTATAATTGACATTGAAAAGCTCTAGTTATTTATTTATTTATCTTTGTTCTATCACGTTTTCACAGTATTCAGTAGCTATGGAATGATAGTCCGTAACTTTAAGAGGTCTTTGAATATTGAAAGACTACTATTGACAATAAATTCATTGAAGTAGAACTTCAAGACAATGAAATACTAAAGAAATTTTGAATTTTTCCTTTACTTAATAATTTTCTGCAATTGGACAGAAAATTTTCTATTAAAAGTTACCACTGATTCCAGTAATCGTGCAGTGATTACATCGGGAAGGAAATATGAGGGAACGGATAAATTTCACCACATTTTCAGCAAATTTTTACGGTTCATCGTTCAGTAATTTGAATTGATTTTTTCTCACAAATCTCAAGTAAGATTTTCCCGTGTCTTTCGGCGAATGCGTAACAGCGTGTTAGGGGATGCGGAAAGGGAATACATCGTAAAGACCTAAAAGGGTATACTAGAGAAAGAAAATTTTTTTTCGTGTCACGGGACCTGAAAAACGCCAATTTCGTGGCGCGCAGCGTGGAAAAATGAATCAAAGTGACAAAAGAGAAGGACGTTTGTCAGAAACTAATAAACTATTAGATATACTATTGACCATTACCTTTTTATGAATACTATCCTCCTCTTTTGACATGTTTATTCATTTTACTGTAAATATTTCAAATTGCCCCCTGTTATGTTCGATTTAGTTCTACTCTACTCCGGCGTAGGGTACCTCACTCCGGCGTAGAGCAACCTAAATCGAAAACGCTATTTGTGTTATCTGAATTCCACATTCTAAAATTTAAAAAAAACACAAAATCAATGAACATTATTGAAAAATTTATGTACCCCAGATAAAATAACTGATTGAAGAGAATGAGCTTTCCCATGTTTCAAAAAATAATATGAAATAAAGTCATACGAAATAGTCAAATTAATAGGAAATATGAATAGAGAGAGTGTCTCAACATTCCTCTCACGTTTGTTTGAAATTGGCGCCAACTAGGAAGTACCAACATCTCTACCAACTTAAAGACCCCAAATCACTCGCTCGCGCATCACCCCTCCCACTCCTGTTTTTTTACCTCGTTTTATCCGTTGCACTCGCTCTATTTCATTCCGTCCACTCGTTTCCCTCTGTTATCAGTCTCCGGTGATAATGAGTGTTTGGTTCTGATGACACTGTACGTTTTCAAATTTGAATCGTCTCGCTGGCGTCCGCCAACCGTTTCAACTGCAAAAGCATCAGTTCCCTCTGTCCTTTGTGACAGACGCATGAAGGGTGACAATTCCGTTGACAATCCTTACTAAAGTGAAAATTCAATCGCGGAAAGTAATTAATTGGAGCAGTTTGCCTTCATGAGGGCACGTCTCAGGAGGATTGTGGCGAAATGGAGTTTGAGAGGGATCCGAGCGGAACCCCAAGGACTTCGAGGGATGATCATCATCACAGCTTGATTAATATGACGATATTGTCAACACCCAGACCACAGGCAACATCCACTGTTGAACGTAGAACGTGAGTAGCGAATAAATCCATGGGAGAATGATGAAAAACTCGAATTCCATTCAGACTATAAAAATCAATTAAGGGGATAGGGGAGGATGGGGTAAAATGAAGACTTGACTTTTTTCAAAATATTTATATTGGATATTATATGGATATTTGGAAACAGCTGTATCAATTCATCTCAGTCTTGGTTTATGACGAAGGGGAGGAGAAGCACTTTCCATTGAAAAATAAATTATTCCATGTCATTGATAATTTAATAAGTCATTAACGTTTTAAAAATAATCAGACTTGTCCATTTTACCCCACCCTCTCCTGTTCACAAAGTCGTCTTCAAATGGGTTGAATAGAACTTCTGAAACATTATTTATTGAATAAACAATCTGAAGGGCATTAAACTGATGTCATCTTGAAACATGAAAAATATGGTGAGAGTGGTGGAAAATTCGTGAAATTTCACAATTCGGTTTTTGACAATTGAAAACTGTTATGAATGAATTCGTTTTCTTGTTTTCAATTTCTTCACTGTTGTTAATTAACTATCTTAATACTATTACATTATTCTGGGACATAACAATTATTATTCTAAATATTTATAATTTTGGAAATTATGAAATTTCACTTTCTACGAAAAACATGACAAAATTTTTTCCTCCAATACGACTGATTTTCTTTATGCAGAATTTTATCCTCTGTATATAAGGAAGGCTTATAGAGGGACTAGTTGAAGATGTTCAACGTTCTAGCCATAGTTTGCAAATGTTCATTTGCCTGACGAAAAATCTTACAAAAATGTTTTTTTCCCAATACATTGTTAGAAAGAAATTGAAATTTCATGGACAGTTGAGTAATAATTTTCAGAAGTGTAACACTTAATTCGATTTAGGGGGAAAGCCATTATGAAATTCCAGACTTCAATGGAATTTCAAATATTTGAGCAGCAAAAAAATGGGAATTCATCTGACTTTCTTAAATGTTTAACCAAAATTTTGCTTAATTCTCAATTAATTGAAAATTCACAAATATATTTACCTGAATTTTCCTGACGTCTATTAATTTAAACGAATAATTACGCTAAAATTTACAATTTTCATTGATTTTCCCAAAAATGTATAATTTTCAAAGGCGAAAATCCTCTAAATTCCATGAAATTTTAGCCAAAAATGTTAAACAATGCCCGACTAATTCATATCACTAAATCCCCTAACCAATTCTTATTCGATAACAATTTTCATTTTAAACATTTCCAGCTTTGGCTCCTACTCTTCCGACGCATTCCATCGCTACCGAGATCCCCCAGTGGACGACGCATCCTCCACCACCCCCGACAGTTCCCTAGGTCTGGTGAACGACATCTCCAGTCGCTCATTAATCGACGAGAACGTCTCCTCGATACCCCAGGCAAACCGCTACGAGACCCAACGAAAGTTGGCGCGAGAGCTCCTGCAGAAGCTGAGTGACCAATCCACTCCCCCCCGCCTGGACCCCAACAAAGAGAACAACGTAAACTCACCAAACTTATGCGACAACACTCCCCCGACCCTGACCAACTCCCTGGACTACTTTTCCCCCCAGCGAACCCCCCAGAAGGACCATACCCTGCTCTCCACGAGTCTCCCCAAGACCAGCATCAACAGCGTGGTGTTCGAGCCCAACGAGATCACAGGAAGATCCTCCGAGAAGTCCAGAAGTCCCGACACCTCCCCCTCAAACTACAAAGCCGATGGCTTCAGCTTCAACACCACAGCAGCAGAACTAATGGCAAAATTCTCGAATGAAGACTTCCTCTCAGGCTCTCGCATGAACTCCCAACTGTCAGCTGACGAGTGCTCGTGGAACCAAAACGTGAATCCTGTCCCACCAGAGCGAGAACGCCTGGACTTCTCCTGTTTCTCCGGAATAATCGGTGAGATGGACCTGTCCCTGGAGTCGTGCGCAGGTCGAAAAGTGTCAGTGGGTGAATTTTTCGGACGCAAGTGCGAGCCAATAGGTCAACTCTCCCCCTCAGAAGGCTTTGAACGCCCAGCGTTTGGTTTCGAAATCCAAAGCCCCAAGAGAATATCGAGACCTGGGGCATTGGTCAACCTGACGACGATGACAGACGCCTCAAAATCCTCAGAACCCCACCCCCCGACGCAGGAGAGCCCAGTTGAGAAATTTTACACCACCTGCACGACCTCCTGCATAGACGACACTCGAGACGAGGACGACGAGGAGCCCCTGATCAGCCTCAGTGGAATAGCAAAGGCCCTGGACTCGAACGACGAGACCCCTCGTCGTCTAGTGGACCAGCTACTGATGGTGAAGAAGAAGGAGAAGGAGCAGAAGGAGAGAAAGCCCATCGAGAATGGCAACTGCACTGGAGGGACCTACACACTGCAGTCAACAAGGTCCTCCCTCCCTGTCTTCGCCCTGGAGACCCCCCAGTCCTCAGGGAAATTATCACTGGACAGCAAGACTTTGAATGGCAACTGTTCAACGATGAACCCAAGTGCCTCTGCCTGGAGCCTGCCAGCATCAGTCTCCTTCGACAAGGACCCCAAATCCCCTGATAAATACAATCCTGAGATGCAGTCTCCAACAATCCCAGGTGTCGACATCACCCCAACAGCTGGAATTCTGACCCCACCGTCTCCATTTTACAACAAAGAATCCCTAAAACAATTGATTTCTCAACAATTTCCCCAGGAGTATCCAGCAAATCAAGTGCCCCAGGCCATGAAGAGCTCGTCGAAACCCCCTCTGCAGTCAGATCATTCGATCAAAAGAGAAATCAACACGTCAGAACGAATTTCCTCACCAAAACTCAACAGCCTAGCCCTGAAGAACCAATCAGAGATACTTAAAGTTGGAAAAAACGAGTCGCCAGAGGGAATTTCCCCAGGAAAACTCAGCAACACAACTCTGAAGAATCCAGCAGAGAGACTGACCATTGGGAGGAACACAGAGGGGCTCTACAAGTGTATCCTTGGAGTTGCCAGAGAGGCTGACATCGAGATGACGAACGAGAGTGATCGTTGGCTGGTGTGCTCCCTCCACCTGCTCCAGATACAGGGAGACAAGGAGAACATTCAGCTGGAGATTCCAGACTACACAGTTCTGATAAAACCAGGTCAGAGTAAAGTCTTCAAGATCGTGGTGAAGCTCCTGAAGATGTCTGGTCCAATCCTGGCAGCCTTGAGCATCAACTGCAGTGACATGACGACCAGGGAGTCCTCTACGAAGCACCACCTGATGTGTTTCGTACCCTCCGATGCTCAGGTTGATGTCATCTACCCTGAGGGACACCAGAACACCCTGAATTTCGGTGGGAATAAGGAAGTAACTGAATTACCAGTGGCATTGGAGAATAAATACGACACTGACGTTCCCCTGGAGCTCTTCATATCAAACAACAACTCTGAAGTGTTTAATCTGAAGACTCCAACGAATTCTGATGCTGTCTCCGACGATAACAAACCAGTCACTTATCTAATACTCAAGGCTAACGATAAATTCATGATTACTGTTGAGTATAAGCCAGGAAATGTGAAGAAGAACCTGAAGAACACGAACAACGAAGGACAATCCAAACTAGTCGTTCGTGTGCACAACGAGACGAAGACAGGCTCGATAATCGCTGAGATCCCTCTGATTGTCGAAGAGATCAACGACACAGAGGATTCACCAGGGGAATTTCCCAGGGTTTATTCTCGTTGTGAAACCCCCCAGCAGCACCTGATGACGAGCCTTCCATCGTCCCCCCACAGTGTGAGTTCAACTACCAGTGCAGGTACCTCTGCCTGCAACAAGTCAGGAAGAGCATCCCCTCGAAGTTTATCATCAGGAGGAACAGTCGCAGGGGATACGATTCCTGTTCAGTCCACCCACTCCTCGTTATCCTGGACGACAGTGCGAGTTGGAAAATACGAGGTGAAGGAATTCACGATAAGAAACACCAGTAGCAACAAGATAAAGCTCCAGGCGTTGATCACAGACAACGACAAGAGTTTCAAATTCCTGAAGGACAGGGAATCCAGTACCAGCATTTTGCTGGGCCTCCAGAGGATGGAGAGCAGAACCCTGACGATTGTCTACTCGCCGAACAGAACTGGAGCTTCAGCGGGGAAAATAACATTCGTTCATTACGAGAATAAGATCAAGAGGAGTTCAGGAAATGTCAGTGATATTAGGGAACGAGAGTCAAGACCTTCCAGAGTCATCATGCTGTATGGATGTGGGGGGTATGCTAAGGTGAATATCAATCAGGCGATGAAGATCATGGGGGCGCAGATGTGGCTGTCCCTGGGGCAACTGAACTCAGCTGGGAACCTGACGACAACAGTGCAGCTGGAGAACTCGGGGGATTTGCCAGCTTATGCCAAGATTAAACTGTCTCCAAAGGCGGTTTATCCGACTGTTGCCACCAGCTGGCATGTCGAGCCCACTGAGGTGATCCTGGGGCCGAGGCAGTCCCAGTGGATCACAATTGACTTTAAACCGAGAAAGGAGGACATTGCTCTATTGAGAGGGGATGTTGCAGAGATGGGGACCCTGACGATTACCCATGGGGATGAGCCAACTCGTTGGAGGATCAGAAGACTCTACAAGAAGCTGATTGAGACTGGACAGGTCAACGACAAGCAGAACGATGTCTTCAGGAATGTGGTGGATCCAATCTGCAGGATATTTCCTGGCGAGGGGCAGATCCCCCAATTGTCGATCATCAGGGATGCTGTGCAGGATCTGGGGATCCTCTGTCGTAATGTCCATCGTCAGGTGGTGACGTTGATGATGGATTTGAACTCTGACGAGACCATTTCGATATTCACTGATGATGGGGATGAGTCTCAGATGTTTCAGTCACTCTGCAGTGACACCAGTGTTGTCTCTGTGCACGATGAGGACAGCTATATGCCCTCGGAGAGCCTTTTGGAGAGGACGCTGGTGGGGAGACGACAGGGGATGGATGGCGAGTTTTGTGTTAGTCCAGCTACGGTGACACTCCATCCTCCTGGCTCCAAGGATGCCACTGTCATGATCACCAGCACATCCAGCACTGCCCAGCCTTTTGAAGCGAAAGTTACGAATAGTGAGTTCTTGAGTGTCTTACCTGCTGGGGGGATGATACCAGCTAAGAGGGGGGTCTTGATTAAAATTCAGTGTAAGAAGAATGTTGATAAGGGGTTTCAAGCGGTTTTGCAGATTTTTACGAGTAATGAGAGAAAGGATGTGAGAATCCAAGTTATGCCTAAACGATATTGATGAGATGTTTTGTAGTGAGAGGATTTTTAAGAAATTTTTTCGGATTTTGACATTTGTGCTTAAGTGTAGGTAATATGTGCAGTTGTACGTCTGAAAGACCATCTTTTTATATGAGAATTTTGATTAAGTTGGAAAGTATTGTAAATGTATCAATGTCAGTTCTAGTAAAAAGTTCGTGATTTTTATTAAATTGATTATAATTTTTTATTAATTGAATCAAATTATGAAAGTGGAGGTGAGTTTTTATAATTTTTTTTCGGAACAAACCAACGACAAGCAGAACGATGTCTTCAGGAATGTAGTAGATCCAATCTACAGGATATTTCCTTTCGAGTCGGAAATCCCCCAATTATCGAGGAAGAGTGTGAGAATCCAAATTATGTCTAAGCTATATTTAATTGTAGGTAATATGTGGATTTATACGTCTAAAAGAAAATACTTTTATATGCAAATTTTGATGAAATTGGAGAATATTGTAAATGTATCAATGTCCAGTCTAGTGAAACAATTCATAATTTTTATGGAATTGATTATCGTTTTTCTGATTAATTAAAAACAGAAAAAAAAATTAGTTCAGATGTTGCAAGTAGATGAGGTGATTTTATCCAGCTTTTACTCTGCTTTACAAAAATTGTCGTTTTACCTTCACTTCCAAGACATCCTCTGACCACTGAAATGAAATAAATTGAGAGCAAATCACTTCTTTCCACAGCTTTTTTACTGCTGAAAATAACAGAATAGGATCCACTTTAAGAATAAAACTCAGTAATTCCCTTCATCAAACTCATTTATTTACAAAACTCCAGAAACTCCATAAAACACTGATTAACAGGTCGACGTCAACTCTAACTTAGCTTTATAAGTCTTAGCCAATGCCTCTATAATCCTGACCATATTGATGGAATCATGTAACCCAGAGTGAAGTCTCCCCTGAGGTGGTAGATTCAGCCTCGCTATCATGTCCTTCAGGCTCCTGGGGTAATGCTGTGTAGCCTCGCAGTAGCTCGTTTTCAGATTGATCCAAGTCTTCAGGTACTCGGGCACCGCCAGCCCATCGATGGCACACTGACCCGGTAGCATCACCTTCAGGTCCCAATCCCCACAGGTGACAAAGGCACTCTTATCCCCGTCGAAGTCATTCCTCTCCACCCAGTTGCAGAAATCCTCGAGGACCTGGGGGAAGTGCTTCTCGTCCTCGACAGTCTCCTGCATTATTCCAGTCAATTCTATGCAAAAGGGACTGAGGATGGGGTTGACACGAGGCTTTATGTACCTGTGGAACATCTTCTCAACCTCCCAGCTTTGTGTGTTCAGGGCCAGACAGGGAAATTCTATGATCTCTGGAGTCGTTATTGGGACGTCCTTCTCGCAGGTCGCCTCGAAGTCGAGGACCAGGAGATACTTGAAGGGTTGAATCACTTCCTGTTGCCTTTTGAGTAGTCTTGAGGCTCTTCCTGTCATCAATCGCATCGCCATGATGTGGGTTTCAGTGTTCAATTTATTTCTTTAGGCAATTTGATTTGTTTCAATTCAGTTTTTAATGGTTCTTCTACTTTGTCACGTGTTTTTATATTTTTTTATGCATTTTTCACTTACACTTGCACTCTCTCCACTCGAAAAATCAAAACATTACGAGAGGTTAAGGTTGAGCGATGTTTGTCGATTAATCGACAACATCGACGATTTTTCATGACCAAACGTCGATGTTTTTCATTCGATGTTTTCAACGGCCGATTAATCGATTTTCGATTTTTCTTTCCAAACATCGATGTTTTTGAATGAGCTAACAAAATTTTTCATTTTTTTTTTATCGCATATTAGGATGACGTTGCTGATTGAGGATAACAAAATAATAATTTATCCGCAATCAGAAGTAATTATTTTCTAGGGTATAGGGGAGGGTAAGGTAGCCCCCCTGACGCCATTGTCCCTTAGAACGTGTCCAAAACGGAAAGTGTCTATCTAGATCCGATCAATTAGCCCCTCATGTATAGATATTCCAAATTTTTATTTTTTTCCTCATTAAAGTAGTTTTGAAGAAAATTGCGAGCTAATAAAAAACATTTGCTAGTTAGTACTTTTTTTAAATAAATTTTTGAAACTCGGGCCTTCAATTGTAAGCCCGAGTTGAAGACCCGAGTTTGTAGCAAAGATGTCAGACAAGATATATTCATATCTTGTCTGACATCTTTGCTACAAACGTTTTTGCTACGAATGTTTTTTTGGGCTCAAACGAAAGAGCGGGTCGAGAAATGGCGTGCTAGGACCTCTAAAGATGGTTTTGAACCAGGGGAGACTCCTAGAC